TAGCTATGACGCCCATGAACCACAACAATTAACCAGCATGTCAAAGGGTGCCGTAGTGGCACACATACCCTGGTGGTGATGAATAGCTCTCTGGTTGGACTTGAGGCCTGCTCAACAAGCGGGAAATCATGCTTGGTCCTGGAAACCTAGCCAACTCTCCAGGGCTAGAGAAGTCATAGATCTTGGAGGGGGAGCCTACAACCATCACTTTACAAAACCAACATCTACACTACAATCTAAATATTTATCCTTATACCCACAGATAAATATGTTCTCGCTTCACATCAAAGAGAGTTCTTTGCAACATTACAGAAAACCACAACCAATCAAAATGCAGAGTTGTGGAGTTTCATCCCAACTGATACATCTACAACACAGCTTCTAAATCAGGAAACAGGGAGGATCAGGTGAAAAGAGTTTTAAAGTCTTAGGATCAGTGAGTTTGCTGTGAGATAATGTCTCTTGGAAATGTCAAAGAAGTCACTATCACCATGACACCTCATCAACATGGTTACCTAACCATGACCCAAACAAGGATGACACAATAGGCATGCTAACACAGAAGGGACAAAGTTCACAAGGCTCCAACCCCAGACAAAGAGCTACAGATAATGAAGGAATGTTGAGAGCAGCAGAAATTGTTCCTCCCGGGAAGAGCACACTAAAGTGGGATTCCCTTCTGCATGCTATAAATATGCTTTTTTACCATTGGTTAATAGAGAAGTTGCTTTGTCCTATGGCAGGGAAGAATATAGGTAGGTGGGAAACTAAATGAATGCTCGGAGAAAGAGGCACAGTCAGAGAGATGCCATGTAGCTGCCGAAGGAGGAAGATGCCAGAATATTACCAGTAAGCTACAGCCCCATGGTGATGCACAGATTACTAGAAATGGGTTAATTTGAGATATAAGGGCTAGTTAGGAATATGCCTGAATCACTGGCCAACTAGTGTTGTAATTAATGTAAGCCTCTGTGTGTTTCTTTGGGACTGAATGGGCTGTGGAACCAGGTGGGACATAAACTTCCATTGATAACACACCAAATTGGTTAGCCAATACCAATTGATCAGCCCTGAAAACAGACGTACATAACATTACACAAGCTTAACAGGTTGTATTTCTTTTTTCTTTCTTTCTTTTTTTTTTTTAGTTTTTCCTATGTGTAGGAATATATAGATATTCACAGACACAGGTGTAACAACAAAGGAAGGAAAAAGGCCATGAATTTGAAAGAGAGCAAGGGGGATGGATGGGAGGAGTTGAATGGAGGAAAGGATTTAATTACAATCTCAAAAACTTTACAGTTACCTTTAAAAAAGAAGCTGCATTGAGAGTGCTCTGATGAGATGTGGATGGTCTTTGAGTCTACAGAGACTGATGGCTGTGTTGTCACTAACAAAAAACATTTGTCTATAATGCAGAAGAGGAATTTTTATTGCTTTCTATCATTTTTATAGGAAAAAAAGCATTTTAAAATGGGGTATATTTAAACTATGCTACATAGTTACTACTCTTTCAGCGGAACTGGGTTTGGTTACCGGCAACTCACAAGGCTGCACACACGTGTAACTCCAACACCCTCTTCTGGCCTCTAAGTTCCCTACACATGCACAGTGTACACATGCAGGCTCACAGACATACATAATTTTTAAAAATTTAAATGTTTCTTTTTAAAAAGGCTTTGCTCTATAGCCTAGACTTACCAAAAAAAAAAAAAAAAAAAAACTCACTTGTAGCCGAGGCCAAACCAGGGTGGCCTCAAACTTGGGGCAATTCTCCAAATGCTGAGATTACATGCACGGGCTACCATGCCTGGCTAAACTCTGCTTTTAATGGACTCTTATAATATGGCTTACTACAACAGATAAGAAATAATTTAAATATTTTATATTTTCATTTACTATTTATGCTGTGGTAGTTTGAGCAGGAATGGCTCCCGTAGACTCATGTGCTTGAATGTTTGGCACACAGTGAGTGGCCCTGTCAGGGTTAGGTGCTGGGAACTGAATCCAGGGTCTCTGCAAAAGCAGTAGGCATTCTTGGCTGCTGAACCATCTTTCCAGCCCAGACAGAGATTTTTTAAAAAGAGTTCTGTGCTAACTGTAGGTCCCTAATAGTCACATTTAAAATTTATCTTTATATGACGAAGTCAATCTTTTTTAAAAATGTTTTATTTATTTATTTATTTATTATGTATGCAATGTTCTATCTGTGTGTATACCTGCAGGCCAGAAGAGGGCACCAGACCCCATTACAGATGGTCGTGAGCCACCATGTGGTTGCTGGAAATTGAACTCAGGACCTTTGGAAGAGCAGGCAATGCTCTTAACCTCTGAGCCATCTCTCCAGCCCCCGAAGTTAATCTTCTAAAGGAGTCAGAGATATTTGTATTTTACAACATTTATAAGAAATATTTTGCCTCAAGTCTAGTGGTTTACTGAATTTTATTGAAGATGTGTACATATTTATACTTGAGTATACTTGGGTATAAATGTGTATAAACACTTTGGGATTCCTGAAACTGTAATGATAGACCTTCCATTAACGTTGTAGTGTATTACAAAAACATTAATGGGCAGTGTTTTAACTGTGCCTTACAAGACATAACATCCTTGATTTGATGAGATAAGGCATTCAGAAAAGATCCCTGACAGAGAAATTAGAGTTTAATAGCAAAATGACTGGTGGGACCGCAGGGACCCGACCTGGACCCAAGTCCTGCTTCTGTTCTGTCCTCAGCAGGACGCTTTGGACAGGGACCATTTCCAAACCTTGGTTCCCAGAATATCTGCTGCTTTGCTGGGATGATGATAGACAGAGCATGGACTCAGGGTATCCGAGTGGCAAATGCTTTTATCCACTGTGCCATGTCATTGACCCCGGGAATGATTTTTTTTCCTTTTTCTTTAAAGATGGGGTTTCTTGTAGCCCAGCCTGTCCTTAAACTTCCTGTGTAGCAGAAACTGACCTTGAACTCCTGATCCACAATACCTCCACCTCCCAAGTACTGAGATTACAGTTTGCCACCAGGTCTGGGCTGATTGTTTCCGGGGAGTTTTCATCTTATTGACAGTATGAGAATTCACTGTGGCATCTACCTTTTATTTTTATAAATGCCCCCATTTTATGGGAGCTTTCGGAACCCTGCACCAAATGCTGTGAAAAGGGGAGTATAGTGGGTTGGTTTCCCCGATGACTTTGCCTTTAACTGTTAATCAGTACAAGAAATTGATAAAGACAAGATTCTATTTATAAACAAGTGATTCTTTTATATAGTGATTACCACACATTGTTATTTTTATAATGAACTATTAAACTAGGGATTTTTTTTTCCTAAGACAGGGTCTCCAGGCTGTCTTAACAAGAGCACTAGCTGCTCTTCCAGAAGACCTGGGTTCAATTCCCAGCAACCATGTGGCACCTCACAACCATCTGTAAGTCCAGCTCCAGGGGACTGGACACCCTCATACATGTAAGCAAAGCACCACTGCACATAAAATATATATATTTGGGGTTTTGAGACAGGGTTTCTTTGTGTAGCCTTGGTTGTCCTGTAGACCAGGCTAGCTTCCCAACTGTTGGAATTAAAGACATATGAATCACCGGCTGGCTAATTAATTTAAAAAAAAATAGATTCTCATGTAGCTGACGATGGCCTTAAACTCGTCATCCTCTCTCCTCCACCTCCCGAGGGCTGGGATTACTCGGGGGCATAACCACACATAAATCTGTGCTCCTCTTAGACTTTGATGAAATGAAACTGAAATTCCTTCTCAATGCCAATTTCCCAGACTCAAAGAAGTGGAATTTTCTCTGTTTCCTAGTGTTCTTCTGTTTCTGTCACCTTGATTATGGTATCTCTTCCTACTGGACACCAAGATTTACACACACTCAGAGAGAGAGAGAGAGAGAGAGAGAGAGAGAGAGAGAGAGAGAGAGAGAGAGAGAATATCAATCCTATTCAATCCTATCCTATTTTTGTTACAATGATGTTTCTAAACCCTGGCCTGGATTATTCATAGCTCCACTGTTCATCCCAAGTATGTACTCAGTGCTTACTTTAGGAGAAGCACAACGTTATATACTGTCAGGTGTACAAGCAAATTCAAGGTATGTATGCATAGCTGTAGCCCAGAGTCAGGAAGCGGCAATAACACATAAAGTTCAGAAAGTATTAGGGAACCCAGTAGAGGTAAAACTTACTTCCAGATGGTGACGCCACACTGTGAAGTCTTAGAGAATGGATATAAATTGTCAACATCAGGAGGTGTGTGTGTGTGTGTTGTATTTCTAGGGGAATGATAAGTATTCCAAGCGTTAAGGGGGCACTGGTAATCTAGAGAAATGTAATGAATGAATAACTTATTAAGTACTGCATATGGTCTGGTTTACCATGGGCGAGAGAATGAAAGGGAAACGTCAGAAAATAGAACTTTGAAACCAAATTAATATTTTGGACCGGGACAGCAAAGGGTTGTTGAATATCTCGCACCCGAGCTGTGCTTGAATATAGCTCTAGCAGTTATGAGGAACATATGCTGGGGGCGGGGCGGAGAATGCTTTAGGAAGAGGGGCATCAACAAGAAAAATGCTGCCTTGACACTGTTCACGGGGTGAGAACTTTGACGAGGTGAGGGGCAATGGGTACCCAAGGAGTGGATGGATGTTGGAGACACTGCAGGGACAAACAACAGACTACGACGTCTGATTGAGGCGTGGGAAGAAAAGGTCTCCAATTCAGACACTGAACTTTTCCAAGTCAACTGTATTATCGAGAAGAGTGGACTGCCCGGGAAGCAATCTGAAAAAAAGGTCAAGTTACACCCGGGCTAGTGAGCGTTTCCACACTGGTGAACTCTCTTAGAAGAAGCCGCCCAGATGGTGGGGGGTGTGTGGCGGGGGGAGAAACGGAGCGCCGACAGTGGAGAGGCGGAGGGCGGCCGCAGGAACCTTACTGCAGAGGCTTCATCGGGAGCGAGTCGGTGCCGCTCAGGTGCAGTAGAGTCCGCTCGTCACCCCCGCCACCCAGCTCCGCTTCCGGTCTCCACAGACGCCGGGGTCGCGAGCCGCCTTCCCGCCCGGTCCCCGTGCGTCAGCGACTGCCAGGCAAGGAGATTTTAATACACGGCGACGCCTTTAACCCTTCGGAAGGACTGGCAGGCGGTCCGGCAGCGACAAGCCAGCACGGCCGACCTCCCCGACGCCGCTCGACACCGCGCCGCCACCCTCCCGCCGCGCTGCGGTTCGAACGCGAGGGGCGTGGCCGGACGGAACCCCACACCCGGCGACCTCTAGACGTCGCGAGATTTGATAGGCGACTTCGGCTTTTGCGCTCCGGAAGTGGAAATGGAGTAGTGAGGGATCCCTGCGCGTTTGGTTACCTTGGAGAGCCGTTTTGGGTGCTGCTGTGTAGACGACCGAGGCCCCTCCAGGGCGTCCCGCGGAAGGGTGAGCACAGCCCTCGGAGGGTGGCGCTTCCGGTCGGGGCGGCGGAGGGACCGGGGAGGCTGCAGCCGGGAGGACGTGGAGGCGCGGCGGTCCCTCCTCGTCTGAGCCTCTCTGCCCTCGGGGCGGCTCTTTAAGGCGCTTCTGGAAGGAGCCTCGCGCGTGTTCTGACCTCTGTGCCTGTTGCTTTTGAAGTTGAAGGGCCAGACGATGAGCCTTGTCGCCTCTTGTCCCCCTCAGTTGAAGAGCGAGTTTCCTCTTTGGGCTGTTAGCGCTGAGATTCTAGAGTCCTTTTAATCCAGTCCCCTTAAACTGACGCGTGTATGTGCTCGCCCCGTCTGCCCACATCTTTTTTTTTTTTTTTTAATGTGTATATGTGTGTCTACAGAGGCCAGAAGTGGGCGTCGGATCCCCTGGAGCTAGAATTACAGGCAGTTGTAAGCTGCCCGGTGTGGGTACTGGGATCTGATCTGTGTCCTTTGAATGAATAGTGAGTGCTCTTGACTACTGAGCTATCTCTCCAGCCGCTCCCCCAACCTTTGAGGTTTCCTTTAAACTCTGAAGCCGTATTTGCTTAATTTTCTTTATTATCTATATTTTTTTTCTTTCCCATGTATTCTGCTTGCTCTCTTTCAAATTCATGGCCTTTTTAGTTGTTATGGACATGTATACTATATATGTGATTATATATATATATATATACACACACACACATACATACACACACACATATACATACACAACCTGCTCAAACCTGTTTACACAATGTTGCTTATATGTATATGTTTTTCAGAGCTGATCTTACATTGTATTGAATATCCGGCTTGTGTGCTCAGCTCTTGGGAGGACCAGGCTGGCTATTGTATAGACCAGGCTGGCCTCCAATTTAGAGATCTGCCTGCCTCTGCCTCTGCTGGGATTAAAGGCATGCACCACCACCACCTGGCAAAAGACAGAGTTTTACTTTGTAACCAAGTTGGACTCAAACTCGAACTCCTTCTGTTTCAGGCTCCTGAGTGCTGAGATTACAGCTATTGATTCGATTACTCAAGCTTCTTAAAAATTCTAATTTCTCATTTTACAGTTAATTCTCAGTCATTTGCGGTGCTGTTTCATTTCCTACTGGGAGCTGGAGAAATGGCTCAGTGGTTGAGAGAGCTGACTCTTATACAGAGTGTGTAAGAAAACATCCTTCTGGAAACTTAGTTCTGAGGGCTTTGATACCCTCTTCTGACCTCTGTTGTGTGATATTTTGTGTTCTGACAAATAAAGCTTGCCTGAAGATCCGAGGGTGGACTAGCCACTAGTTAACTATAGAGGCCAGGCAGTGGTGGCACAGACCTTTAATCCCAGCACTGGGTGGAGGAAGCAGGAAGATGAGGAGTTCAAGGCCACACTGGGCTACAAGAGATTGAACCAGTCTAAAAGAGAAACAGAACCAGGTGGTGAAGGTTCTCGCCTTTGATCCCAGCATTTGAAGGCTCATGCCTTTAATCCCAGCACTAGGGAGGTGGAGACGGGATCTTACCCATTCGGTTTGAGGACTCGATAGAGGTAAAAAGTATAGCAGCTGGCTGCTCTGCTTCTCTGCTCCTTCAGCTTTCTTCCACTCCCTAATATCTGATTCTGGGTTTTTATTAAGACACTAGAATTTGTGCTACAATACTCTGTCAAAAATTGTTCACTTCCTGGTTTTTCATAAGCTAATAAAATAGTGCTAATTTTTTTTTAATTCTTACAGATCTTAAAAATTGTACAGAATTTCAAGATGAGCGATACTTCTGAAGAGATTCCAAATTTTGAAGAGATGTTTGCAAACAGATTCACACAAGACGACAAAGAGTACCAGGAATACTTGAAACGTCCCCCTGAGTCCCCTCCAATTGTTGAGGAGTGGAATAGCAGAGGTGGCGGTAACCAGAGAAATAGAGGCAACTGGTATGTGTTATTTCCGGAGGATAAGTGCAGAGGGCTGTCTGGGAGAAGGTAGCTTTAATATGCTTGCCCATGAAGCTGGTGAAAGTAGCAACCAGTGTTCACAGCATGGTTCGCCCACAGCCCTGTTTCCGTGCCTGGAGCATGATAAGCACTCTTAAGTACTTGCTTATAGTGTCCTGGCTAAGCCAGGCATAGTGATGCAAGCCACACTTTCAGCATTTGAGAGGTTGAGGTAATAGGTGCATGAGTTCTAGGCCAGCCTGGACTATCCAATGAGACCCTGTCTCAAACTAATATTTACAAATATACTTAATAGAACTGTAGTTTTGTACTTGATTTCCTAAAGGTAGTCCTTTGATTAATTTATAAAGTTTCTAAACTGAAACGGAAAATTATGTAATAATTCAATAAAGAAGCGGCCTGGTTTTCGCATTTTAGTGGGTGTCAGTGTGACGATACCTGGACCTGTTACCCCGCCTCTGACAGTGAGAGGTGCCAGTGTGATGCTGGAAGAGTAGCTTACGTCTTAGGAGATGGGACAAGTGCTGTGATGGCCCCAGACATACAGCTCCACCCTCCATTACCCTGTATTCAGGGGGAACTCAAATACCCTGGGATTGATGTCTTTGTGGTTTTTTTTTAAAGGAAAGTTAATGTTTTGTTTTTCTTTTGGTAGGCTGCAAGATAACAGACAGTTTAGAGGTCGGGATAACAGACGAGGATGGCCAAGTGACAATCGATCAAATCAGTGGCACGGACGGTCATGGGGTAACAACTATCCACAGAGACAAGAGCCTTACTACCATCAACAGTACGGACAGTATGGCCCCAACCAGCGGCCTCCATATGGTTACTACTGACAGAAAGGATGCGGCTTTAACAAAAGGCCGTTCATTTTGATAATGTGCTGAATGTTCGTTTGTCTTCTTTTGGTCATAGTTTTTCATTCTATTTTACAGAATGGGTTGTTAATTGTTTAGAACTTGAGACTTGAAAATAAATTGATCTTGCTAGAGGTGTGACAATTGATGGGAATAAAGTGTGGATTATATTGTTTGGCTTTATCTTAAATACTGTTTTATGATTTAGTACTGTTTTGAGTTTGGTATGTTTTTCTTATTTGATCTCTAGGAGTTCTATCTTTAACACATAAATTTTAAATAGGAGGGGCTGGAGAGATGGCTCAGTGGTTAAGAGCATTGCCTGCTCTTCCAAAGGTCCTGAGTTCAATTCCCAGCAACCACATGGTGGCTCACAACCATCTATAAAGACGTCTGGCGCCCTCATCTGGCCTTCAGGCATACAGACAGAATATTGTATACATAATAAATAAATAAATATTTAAAAAAAAAAAATTTTAAATAGGAAATGCTGGCTATTACTTTATAGAAGAGTTCCAGATGAGCTCACCTTGGACATTTCCTAGAGTGAGGACAGTCAGTCTGTGAAAAACACCTGTGATTATTTATCGTGTATTGTACATAGTAGCAGCAATTGAGAGGTAAATAAACGTGAATCCGCTCCTGAACCAGTTTGGTCTCAGTCCTTACTCTTTCAGCTCATCCTCCTGAACTGGTGGGATTGTAGCACTGAATATTATATGTGCTCCAAGACTTTTGCAAACTTGCAATAGGGAAGAAACGGATGTTCTCTAAAAGAACAATACTCATGTAAATATTGCTGCATTTTGACTATTTTGGTATTTTATGTGTGTTGTAGAATATCATTTTAAGGTGTTACATTTGTTTAATGATACAAAGATGTGTTGTATTCTTTTATGTTGCATTTGTTTAACTCTGAAGCTGTGCTACCTTGCCTGTCTAAAACACCTGATTGGTCTAATAAAGAGCTGAACAGCCAATAGTAAGGCAGGAGAAAGGATAGGCGGGGCTGGCAGGAAGAGAGAATAAAGAGAAAGAGATGTCTGGGAGAGATCAGTCGAGGAAAGAAGGGGCCAGCCACAGAGTAATAGTGTAAGTAAGATATACAGAAGGAAGAAAAGAAGGGGCCAGCCACAGAGTAATAGTGTAAGTAAGATAGACAGAGAAAAGGAAAAAACCCAGAGGCAAAAGGTGGGTGGGATAATTTTAAGTTAAAAGCTGGCAAGAAACAAGCCCAGCCAAGACTGGGAATTTATAGTAATAAGACTCTGTGGATTTATTTGGGAGCTGGGTGGCGGGCACTCTAAAAGAACAAAGAGTAAAAGCAAAAAGGGGGAAAAACGCTTCATTTTATAAGGTTATTTTCACTTTGAAATGCTCTCTTTGATGCTTTACAGCTACAATGAGGCTGTCACTTCTTTCAGAATTCTTGAAATACTTTATGATTACAATAGATTTATTCAAGTAATTTTTTTTTCAAGACAGGGTTTCTCTGTCACTTTGAAGCCTGTTCTGAAACTTGCTCTGTAGCTCAGGCTAGCCTCAAACTCACAGAGATCCACCTGCCCCTTCTTCCTGAGTGCCAGGATTAAAGGTGTGAGCTACCGCTGCCCAGCTCAAGTGAAAATTTTAAAAGACTAATTCAGTATATGTGTAAACTGAAGGAATGAATAAACTGCATAAGATGTATGCAGCTCTTATGTTTTGACAGCCCATTTATTTACATGGTAATGACCTAACTGACTTTTTATTATGCTGTGCTTTAAATGTATTGAATAAGAGTTAACTTTCTAAGTTTACCTTTTTCTCTCAGCCACTTGAGATGGACTTTCCCAGGTTCTCTGTGATCTGAATGTATCTTCTCCAAGTCCCTCTTCTGGAAGAGCCATCTATAGCACGAATAATAAAAACACAGATACATACGGGGTTTCAACCTGAAGATCAGGAAAGCAAAGCAGCCAGCCACTAGAGAGCTTAATCTCTGTAAAATCTTCAGACTGAAAGAGCGAGTTCCTGTCTCATCCCTCTATATTCCTCTCTAGTGCTGGGATTAAAGGCGTGCACTGCCACCACCCAGCCTCTACGGTTAACTAGTGTGGTCGCTGGGATTAAAGGTGTGTGCCACCACTGCCTGGTCTGTATGGCTGACTAGTGTGATACCAATGAAATACCACTGCAGCTATCCTCTTGGGTAACTGTTATGAAAAAGGTTCTAATATATTAGGTTTTCACAGTAATGACTTTAACATAAAGTAAGACTTTTCCATGTGCCCTTCTCAGGCCAGTGCTATTATGTAAATATGACCCTGTTTTTTTTTTTAAAGTCCTTTTAACATGAATATTTTTTTCATTGAGTATGAGTAACCCATGTGATAGGTAGTTTTTTTTTTAACCAGTAATTATTATCAGGCACCCCTCAACCCATGCACTTAAAATAAGGAAGAAATAAAAGGATTGTTTTTGCTTCATAAGTCAGGAAATAACACGAAAATATAAAGGATAATTTAAGAGTGAGTCAGAAAAAAATGTTGAATAAAATTAATTTCAAATAGTCTATTATAGCACACAACATTAAGCATGCCTTGGTTTCCAGTCCTGTCTTTAAAGTTTCGTGACCTTGAGAAAAATCACTTCAATTTTGGATTAATTAAAAGCTTAAGTGCGGCATTCGGGAGGCAGAGGCAGGCGGATCTCTGTGAGTTCGAGGCCAGCCTGGTCTACAAGAGCAAGTTCCAGGACAGACTCCAAAGCTACAGAGAAACCCTGTCTCGAAAAAAACAAACAAACAAAAAAAAGCGTAAGTGTTCACCCTGCCCCCTTGCAGAGTTGTGAGTGGCCAGAGGGAGAGCCTGAGACCAAAATGGGAAATTGATGGCAGCTCCGCTGTAAGCGCAGTAGAAACGCTGATGGGGAAGGAATGCTGGGTACGCGGTGAAGCAGAGCAGTCAGAGGTGGGGAGGCCTGACTTCCCAGGAGGCCAGTCTGGGCAGCCTAGTGCTGTCTCCAACAGACAAGATAGAGAGGCCAACGATGGCAAGGTTTTATCGTTCCCGTGTGTGTCTGTTCCTATGTCAATTGCAAAGGGAGAGCAAATTGTTTAGGAAACAAGTTTCAAAGAAGCTTATATAAAAGCTGAGCTAAAACTGGGGGCACACACTGGAAGTTGGCGCTCACTTTAAATGTGTTGCTTTTGAGCACATCAGATTGGGTCCTTTTGAGAACAGCTTGCTGGGGACCTAAGCGTTTTCTGGCATGTGTTTTGGGGTGCTAGAGGGTGTGGGGCATCTAGCATATAAATGCCCTCGTGCCATTGCTTTGAGAATAGGTTTTGGGTTCTTGGAACCATTTGGGAAAGGCATCTTTAAGTGTTTAACAGAGAAGGGTGGAATTTCCTTTTGTAAACCTCAAGGAAAATACACGACCTTATGGTGAAGAGTAAAGAAATGTCAGCTTTTTTTATTTTTTATGGTTTTTAAGAGTGGGATTTTTCGTTTCTTAAGTTGACCTGGCTCTCTTAGTCTCAAGTAGTCCCCACACCTTAGACCCCTGATTAGCTGGGGTGTGTGCCCAACCAAATTGTCAGTCTTGAGAGTGCTAAAGTAGACAGAAATGACCTTTCAGCCTGAAGGCTAGCCGTGGCACTAATTCTGAATTCTAATAAAAGTGCTATACTTTGTTCATAACATTTTTATGCTTTCATTTTTTTCAAATTTTTTTTTGTTCCACTAGACTTAAAATCTGTGTGTGTTGGTATTCAGTATCCTGAGGAAATTCACAAGGACGACAGGCAGCTGAGGGGCATGGTCTCGGGGCCTCTGTCGTGGTTGGCACCATTGCTTTGGGCATCTGGCAAGTCTGAATTATGAAAGGAGCATGTGGCAGGAATCTGTTCACCAGGTGGTGGTTTGAAAGTGAAAGGGGATAAGGGAAGAGGCTGGGGCTGGTTTGCCCCTTTCGAGAACCCCATAGGCCCTACCTCTAAAGCCCACTGATGCCACAGGCTGGGACAAAGCTTTCCACACATGGTCATTAGGATCCAGAGATTTGGTTGTGGCAATCTATCCCTTGAGTTATTGATGTCTCGGTTGTTGATAGTGGGGATGGGATCTAGAGCCTCACACGTGCTAGGCAGATCTACTTACCCCAGCCCCATCTTTACTTTTTATTTCGAGACAGTTTCACTGGTTTGCCTAGGCTGACCTTGAACTTTCAGTCCTACTTGGGATATTGACTTTCAATTAGTACTACTGTTATAATAAAGAAAATCTGTATTGTCAATATTTAAATTACTAGAGATTAAAATACAGGTATATATCACATTCTGTGAGATCAATTTTTCTCAGATTCTGCTACATTATTAAAGAACAAATTAAAATCTAGATCCTGTTGGTAGATTGGAACCCAGGGGAGCCTTGAGAGCAAATATTTCCTTCTTTCTAGAAGGCTGTACTGTGAGGGTGTGCAGGGGTGAGGAGGGAGGTGCCCATCAGCTGGGCTGTACGTTTGAGAATGTGCAGAGGTGAGGAGGGAGTAGCCCCTCAGCTGCTTGAACAGTGCAAAGGCCTTGGCACCAGAGACATACGTTCTGAGGAGCTATCCATGCTGTCGGATTAGGAAAATGAAGGGCAGTGGGTAGTACCTGTTGGATTCACAGTTTCGCAGGGTAGGAAGGATGGAGGAGCAGATTAATACAAGTTTCCAGCAAACTGCCCGCAGGACGTGACTGCTTTCAGGATGATGTTAAAAGTAGACACAAAAAGGGTGGAATCTGCTGGGTGTGGCGCACGCCTTTAATCTCACCACGAGGAGGAAGAGGCAGGAGGTCTCGAGTTCAAGGCAAGCCTGGTAGTGAGGTCCAGGACAGCCAGGGCTACATAGAAAGACCATATCTTTAAGGTGGTGGTAGTTGGGGGGGGGGGGTGGAATCTTACCACAGGACAACATGGATAGAACTTCTGGAGGTTACTGTGTTCAGTGAAAAGAGCCAGACACAGAGACTTAATACCACATCCACTAGCAGAGACTAAAACTATGTTGACCACATAAAAGTATAGGGTAGCACAGAGATTACTAGAAACCAGGAAGGGAAGGGGGTGGGGGGCAGAGTTAGTAATGGATTCCAAAATAAAATTAGTAGTGGGAAGTAGTTCTAACATCTTTGAATGGAATCACTGTAAGACTCACATTTTCTAAAGTAGAGGACTGAGTTCCCGACACATCAAAATGATAGAGTGAGATCACAGAAATGCTAATTACCCAGCTTTGGTTGTTATACTGCCCACGGTATCAAATTCTACTATATTCCAAAAAAATTCAAATACTGTGACAGTTACAAAGCAAACAAGTACACAGCACAGAACTAGGTACATAAGAACACGGAACGCAGGTTCTTGCCTCCCGAGTTTGAGGAAGGCCTTTCTGGGTTGGGTTAAGAGGTTCGGCCCACAGTCTTCATGAGCTCGTACGTGTATCCATCTTGTTGTGTCTGGAAAATGCTGGTTCCTTGGAGTCATCATTCCTTGGTGACCTGCACCAGGTTTTTTCTCTTAGGCCACCAACCAACTCCCAAATCACGACGCAGGTTTATTCTTAGCTTTCAGTGCTTCACCTACCTTACGCATGTTTCTGTCTAGCTTTTTTTTTTTTAAACTTAACCTGTTTCTCTTTATCTACATCCTGCATCGGGGCTTTTTACCTGTTCCTATTTTCTTCGTGTCTCTGTTTGTGCCTGGTTGGCAGCCACCTGGCTTCTGGCCACGAATATCTTCTCCTCTCCTCGAGCCTAGACTTCTCCTATTTATTCTCTCTGCCTGCTAACTCCGCCTATCCTTTCTCTGCCTAGCTATTGGCCGTGCGCCTCTTTATCAGACCCCTCAGGGGCTTTAGACAGGCAAGGTGAACCAGATGCGACACATCTTTACATCATTTAACAAAGAGAGCAGAAAACAAAACTAACACAGCTTTACACGGTTAAAGTAATATCCTGCCGCATCAACAAATGCAGTAGTATTCCGCAACACCCGCCTCTGAATCTTACAGTCTCTTCTGCCTCCTCCTCCTCCACAGAGGTTTCCATAGGACATCCCACTGAGGTTCAGTGGTCCACAGTCTCTCACGCTCTGCGCTTTGTCCAGCTGTGGTGTCTCTGTTAATCACCATCTCCTGCATAAACAAGCTTCTCTGGTGAGGGCTCTGCGGGTATAGCGTGGGGAGAACTCCACAGGTTCAAGCCACACAAAAATCCCAGCACTAAGAAGGGGAAGTGGGCACAGGCCCTCCCCTAACCAAGAAGCTATATGCGAGTGATACCTGATGGGAAAGGGGAATCCGTTTCCTCCCACTGAGTCCCTGGGTATATCCACTACACCCCAGGACAGGCCCTATGCCCAGGAGTTGTTGGCCAATACAAAACAGAATCCATGTTTTTTATGCTTTTTTTTGTTTTGTTTTATAAGTTTTTCTTATTGATTTTCCTTCTTTAAATTTTGACTTAACATTTTATGTTTTTGGTTGTTTTTCCTGTGGGTTTTGTTTGTTTTGATAGAGAACATGAAGTTGAATGAGTAGGGAGATGGGGAGGATCTTGGAGGAGTTGGAGAGGGAGGGAAAGAATATGATCAAAATATATTGTAAAAGCTTTTTTTTAAAAAAAAAAACAAAAATGTAAAAAGTAGTTCAATTCACCAGTGTACGCCTTTAATCCCAGCTCTCGGGAGGCAGAGGCAGGTGGATCTCTGTGAGTTCGAGGCCAGCCTGGTGTACAGAGTGAGTTCCAGGACAGCCAAGGCTACACAGAGAAACAAAGCAAAACAGTAAGTAGTTAGGCTCACAGGGCGGGGGTGTGGCTCTGGAAGAGCCCGCCCAGCCCTCACAAAGTTTAATCTCTGAAATAATGGGAGATTATTATACAAGCTACATAGCGTGCTTGAGGCCAGTCTGGCTGCATGAGACTCTGTCTCAAAAAAAATTAAAGTTCATCTCACAAATACCTCACCAGGTTCTTCACGGCCGAGGAACTAATTTAGTTGGTGTTTCATTCTGTCCCTAAGGGCACAGAGAGTCTGATGTATTAATTACCAGTTAAGTTTTCTCTGGGTTTCAGTGACATCTCCTGAGACCAGTTCTGGGAGGATGTGATTATGATCTCATGGTTTTTTTCCACTGCCAGGGCCTTTAACTCCCTACAGTCTCCAGCCTTTGTCTGCATGAGATAAACAAAGCTGTTCTCCTTGCTAAAGCCAGAGAGCTTGGCTGTCTTGTGTTCTTTTTCCTCTTTTAAATTTCTTTAATTACGTATACTCCATGTATATACAAAATAAGTGTAAAAAGTGAGTGAGGTGGTATAAAAATTAGTAGCCTTCACCCAAACAATTGTATATTCTTAGACCTGTTTACACACACACACACACACACACACACACACACACACCTCCTCATTCACTTAACAGAATGCAATAGATATCACTCTAGGTCAATAACAGATTCAAACTTAATGATTTAATTTTAAATATTGTATGGGCTTGCCATTGAGTGAATGACTATTCTCTTGGTAGATCCTCGGGGATTCTCTCTTCGTTTTCCACACACTAGCTAACAGTGCTACGTTACCTTTGTAGACTTACCCTTTGGTGCTTTCGTTCTGTGGTCTGTGGCGAGCACTCTGAAAAGGGAAATTGTGAGGTCAAAGGGCACCACTTAAAACACTACATGTGTTTGTATCGTCCTTGAAGTGGGAGGATCCGCTCTAAACGTGGGTGCACCATGTCCTGGGCTGCGGCCCTGGCCTGCGTAGAAAGGAGGCAATGAGCCAAGCATGACTTCCTGACTACAGGGCCGTGTGGCCGACTGCCTCGCCGCTACTGCTGTGCCCTCCCCATCCCGACAGACTGGACCCTCAAACTGAATTGAAATAACCCGTTTTAGCCTGTTTTTGTCCAATGCCTTGTCACGAAAGTGGCCAATATGCAAAAATCACAGTGGCTTTTTTCCTATGACTTCAAATTTTTGACTGGCTTGGAACTCACTCTGTAGACCAGGCTGGTCTTAAACCTACAGACATCTGCCAGCCTCTGTCTCCTGAGTGTTGAAATTAAAAGTGTATGTAACCATAAAAAAAAATAAAATAAAATAAATAAAACAAAAAAGACTTCAAATTTTTAAGAAGTTTTTTAAAGGAGGACTCATTGATTTTATTATCACATCCGTTTCTTTTTTTTTGAAGATTTATTTTTCTACTATGTACACAGTATTCTGTATCCATGTATGCCCACAGTCCAGAAGACAACGTATCTCATTATAGATGGTTCTGAGCCACCATGTGGTTGCTGGGAGTTGAACTCAGGACCTCTGGGAGAGCAGCCAGTGCTTTTAACAACTGAGCCATTTCCCGAGCCCCTTAAGAAGTTTTTTTTTTTAACATTGTCATCGTGTGGGTGAGTGGGTGAAGCATATGATGTGCCCATGAGCGGGCACACACGTGCCACAGTGTATGTGTGGTGTTGGGACTTCCAGGAGTCAGTTCTCTCACAGTGGGTCTGGATTCCGGGACCCAAAGCAGGTGTCAAAGCTTGCACAGCAGTGTCTGAACCCACTACACAGTGGCTCGCAACCTGTGGCTAACATATCCTACACATCAGATACTCACAACTCATAACAGTGGCAAGATGACAATTGTGAATTAACATCAAAAATAGTTTTATAGTTGGGGTCACCGCAACATGAGGAACTGTATCATAGCGTCGCAGGGTTAGGAAGGTTGAGACCCGCTGCTGCACTAAATCATCTCACTGGGCCAACTTCAGCTTGGTGGCTGATTGGTCACAAGCTGCTCAGCCTTTGTAATCCCAGCGTTTACTAGGATGCTTCACTGCTGGCTGTCATGACGTCTTTGTCACCTGGAATGCTGCACCTTTTTGTCAATTCCTCTTTTTTTTTTTCTTGACCATTTTCTTGTCTTTAAACTTTTCCTTGCCTAGGCTTCTTTGACTTGTCCTGTGTTCCACCTGTTACTTTGTTTCCAGCATGGTCTTTAGCTCCCTGATGCTTTTTTTCTTTTTATTATTTTCTTTCTTTCTTTTCTTTTTTTCCTTTTTATTATTTTCTTTCTTTTCTTTTTTTTCCTTTTTTTTTTTTTTTTTTTTTTTTTTTTTTTTTTTTTTTGGTGTTTCAAGACAGGGTTTCACTGTAGTTTTAGAGCCTGTCCTGGAACTAGCTCTTGTAGACCAGGCTGGCCTCGAACTCACAGAGATCCGTCTGCCTCTGCCTCCCAAGTGCTGGAATTAAAGGCATGTGCCACGACCACCCGGCTTCTTATTATTCTCAAAGACGTATTATTTTTAATCATGCGTATGTGTGAGTATGTGCGTGTGTGTGTGGGCATCCCAGTCCAGAGGTATTGGACTTCCTGGAGCTGGAGTTACAGGTGGTTGTGAATCATGAATGTGGGTCCTGGGAACTGAACTCAGTCCTCTGGAAGAGCAGCCTGGATCCTAATTGCTAGCCGGCTTTCTAGCTCTCTCTTTTTAAACTCAGGCCTGCTTAGGGTGTTTCCCCAGGACCTGACGTGAGCAGGTGTCATGTGGCAAGCAGCTACCTACCATATGGACAGTACAGCCTCAGAAGAGAGTAGAGGTTTGCCCTCCTACCAATAATTTGCTTCCTTCCTCTGCATTGTGCTGCTGACCTCCAGGGATCTGAGGAAATCTAAGGCTTTGTCATAATTCGGAAGCCCCTGTGATGGCAGAACACATCACCGGTGAGGCGACTGTCGTGTAAAATGACTAAGGTGGCTCTAACTTTGGCTGCGGAGTTCGGGGATTCCCTGGCTCTAATCCCAGCCTCTCTGAGACACCTTCAAAGGATGGCATTTGTAGATTTCTCACGGGGGCAGGCTGTTCTCATTAGAAGATCCCACTACACAGCCTATGGGTGGGTGTGTTCTTCAGTCAACTAAACGGGCACGTCAGGGACCTGGCCAGTTGTCCTGCTCAGTGCCATTTTCAGAAACTCTGACGCGCGGTGGGATCTCTGAAAGCGCCGGAGCAGAGGGAAGGGCTTAGGATCCTGCTGTCTTCCATGGCGCTCACCTGGACGGCTGAGTACCCAGCTGGCTCTCAGCCAACACTGTCCTGCGAGAAACTTTTCAGGGCCAAGGGATCTAAGCTTCAAGAACATCTCTGGAAAGACAAGAGATTCTGAGCGTGTGGGAACCGCAGTGCGGAAGGAAAGTCCTACAACTGCATTGACCGGCGTCAAAGTAGTCGTCGATTTCTGCTGCGGCGCCACAGTGCCACCTCCTGGATGTAAACGGAAAATTCTGAATTTTTTAAGTCCTCATCACGTATATTAAAATGATTTGAATTTGGGGTCATGGCAGGTTCTAAATACTTATATATTCTGCCCTACAGTTAAGGAACTACTTAACCAAATCCTCGAAAACTCGAGATAGAACATTGTAGTTCGCAGCCTTAGAGAACCTTCTAAAATTCCTATCTTTGGCTTTTTAAAGCCTTAAACACTGCCAAGGTCCCACTTGGGTCCTCTGATTGTCTCTCTGTCCTCGAGCCAAAGGAAAGATATGGAATGATTCCCAGAAATCAGAAGCCCAAAGTGTGCCTCTGCCTCCTGAGCAGGATGAGCCCAACTTTTTCCTTTCCCACTTTCTGCTCATGTACGGTGGAAGAACCCAAGTTCCTACAGTCGTGCAGGGGAGACTGTCCCTTCTGGTGGAAGTGAGGGTGACAGATGAGGGGCTACAGCATCACCTTGACACTGGTTCCTCTGTTACCTCAGACCTCATTTACAGCACTGGCAAAGCCGGGGTCCCCAGGCTAGCACGGGACAAGAACAGCGGTGCCATTGCGTAGACTGTGGGGTATCTGCCTCTCAGAATTAACTGGGGGCAGATCAGGTTAGAATCCTACCTGGAAAAGGCTAACAGAGGCTGGATTTTGTGTCCTTGTTCCTGGCTCTACTTCAGTATTCTTGAGGTGAGATCAAACCTGGGTCCGACTGAAGAGAGTTGCCGACCCGGTCTTCTGGGGCAGGTCCACGTTCCCATCAATGAGGATGAGAGGCGATTAGGACTGCTGAAGGCGACCACATCTGCAGAGGGAGAAGGGACTGTCCTAGAACACAGCCCCTGGACCAGTTCCAGACTGTGTCACTAGGATGGATCTTTTTGCTTATTCGTTTATCTGGACACAAGATCTCACTGTTTAACCCAGGCCTGACTCAAACTTACTGCACAGCCCAGGTTGGCCTTGAATTTTAGATTCTCCTGCCGCAGCCTCCCCAAAGTGGGGTTATAGGTCTGTACCCCCATGCTCAGTCGTGATGTGTCTTGTTAGAAAATAACGTTATGAGTCTGCCGGTGGTGGTGCATGTCTTTAAGCTCAGCACTTGGGAGGCGGAGGCAGGAGGATCTCTGTGAGTTTGAGGCCAGCCTAGTCTACACAGTGAGTTCTAGGACAAATAGGACTAGACAGTTTTCTCAAGAGAAGTAAAGAAATCGAGCTGGAGCTGGAGTGGGGTAGACATCTGTGCCCAGAGGTAGGTGAACTTGACGCTAGCAGTTTGAGATGAGTCTGGGCAACATAGTTAGGCCCCATGTTCAGAAAAAAAAAATATTGTAGTGAAACCTGGTTCCTACCCAGCCTCCACTGATAGTTTTTGATTCTGATCTCCATTCCTAGTTTGCTCCAGAGTCTGCTGATCCTATCTCCAGCTCTGGGATGGGCCTTAATTGGCCTAAAATGATTAGGATAAACCTCTTTCCTAATCACTGCTTCAGCTAGTTGGCATTTCTTGCCAAGAGGGTGGTTTAGACACTCCTATGATCTGATTTGATGCAAGGTGGAAGGGGACGGGACTTTTGGAAAACAATGGCCGAGCTCTTCAGGGCGGGCTCCATTGCAGAGGGTTAGCATATGGATATGACTCCCCCCCCCCCCCCCCCCCCCCCCGCCACACACACAAAGGAACTGGGCCTGAGCATTAGGCTGGCATCACAGAAGAAAGGAAGGGGGAACTTTGTGACATCGCTGCTCTGTGAAACCCTTAAACACCTCTGGACTCTGTGAGCATGCTAACACATTCTTGACATGTGTTTCTGCTACCTAAGAAGCTTCCTGTAGCGAGCTGTGCAAGGCCACAGGTGAAATGCCTGTGAGACCCAGTGGAACTGTGGGAAAGTTCTCCAGCCCAAACCACACAAAACAAGTACTCAGAAGCAGTGTGGTAGAGGGTCTTACAAGACAGGGCAGCTGGTTTAAACCAGTTCTGCCTCTAAGCAGCACAGGGCTTTGGATAAGCTTCCCAACTGCTCCTGTCCTTGGCTCCTGGGAAGGAACTGCTAGTTCTTTCACACCAAGCATTTCTACAATCGGTGTTTCTTGTGGACTTGGTTGTTAATGATCAGGTCATCACAATACATTTTCTCCTGTACTTACTGGCAAGGCACACACTACAAATCAGCAGTTATGTTACTACTAGATGAGCCTAAGCGGGCTGGGCGCGTTGTGCATGTCTGTGTATAAACCGGCACGTGGGAGGCTGGGGCAGCGGGAGCTGCAAGGCTGCACATTGACTTAGGGAGACCCTGTCTCAAAGATCAAAATGAACAACAATCTAGAGTTCTATAATGTAGGTAAGATATGTAAAACATACTTGTTATCATCTCAGCTACATATAGACATTTACAACATGTGTTATTGAGAGAGATACATGCTACCTATACAGATCTAGGGACACAGGCTCACATATCAGGCTGACCTGATACTCTATTATATAAAAGATCATCTCGAACTTATCACCCCCTGCCCTCATGTCCAGAGTGCTGGGATTACAGGTGTGAACCACCACACCAGTTTATGCAGAGCTGGGGATCAATCCCAAGTCACAGTGCCTAGCAGGACGCACTACCAACTGAGCTACCACCCAGCTCACGGATGGGATCTCTGGTGGGCTTTACAAGGAAAAGGACTTCCAGGTAATCTTTCTCCTCTTCTTTTTTAAAAGACTTATTTTTTTAATTTGTATGTATGTATGTATGTATGTGTCTGTCTGTCTGTCTGTTTCTGTGTATCTGTGTGTACATATGAGTGTGGGTGCTCTCAGATCAGAGGCTCTGGATCCCTTGAAGATGGAGTTACCGGCAGTTGTGAGGCATCCCACATCGCGTTGTTGGGAAGTGAACTCAAGTCCTCTCCAAGAGCAGCAAAGCTTCTTAACCGCGAGCCATGGCCCCGCCACTTCTTTACTCTTTTAAGATCTTTGGAGATTCCTAAGAACTTCTCGATTAGAAGATTTACAAGGTTTTCAAAACTAACTGACTGACATTACGTTACAGGTCTATGATTATTTACTTTTTCACAAAATGTTCCATACACTTTTTAAAAGATATAAAAAACATTTTGGCATTTAAATAAACATCTTAAAATAGAAGTTGGATTATAAAGCAGCATGAAATGGTTTTCACTTGTAAACAGAATTAGGAACCCCCAGAATCCAAAACACTGTGGTGATGTGAGGCTCAAGGCACCAATGGGAGTCAAGGGAGCTAGGTTCCCGCTGTCGTCTTGTACGCGGTGATCTTCAACTGGTCTCCTGATGTCTGCAGATCAGAGGCACCACCGTGGACAGCAGAGGGTGAGGTTGATCATCCTGATTGGCTTGTCCAGCTGTCCCGTGGTGAAGCCATAAAATTAGAGTAACATATTTCAGGCTGTTTAATGTGCATGTGTGTGCACATACACACAGGAATCACATGCCTGCAGGTGCCCTCAGAGGTCAGAAAAAAATGTTGGGACAGCCTGGAACTGGAATTTCAGGATGAGTCCTCTGATGTGGGTGCTGGGGGCCAAGCCCAGGACCCCTGGAAGAGCACCAAGTGCTCGTAACTACTGAGGCATCTCTTCGGCTCCAACGGAGAGGGATTTTAGAGCCTATATTTAATGGATAGACTTAAATTTTCTACTTTTATTTTAATCTGATTTGTGTGTGTGTATTCCATTGCCTATGTCTGGACACATATATGTTTTCTTATTGAGCCACCTCTGTGTTGTTATTGAAACTCCTGAAGGACGTACTTATCATTTCTTGCCTTTATTTTTTTCAGCTTCCTTTTTCAGTTTCTCCAAGACCACTTCTGGAGTCGTAGAGGCCAAGAGTTTCACCACCTTTTCCCGAGATTTACCACCCTGAAACCAGAAGGAAAAAGACAACTCAGCATCCTAATACTGGCAGGAGCAATAGACCTCTGTCTCCCCTGCAGCATGTCTTCATGGGGTGTCATGGATGGCCCCCCCAATAGCCTAGTGTGGTGGTTTAAAAGAAAATGTCCCCCAAAGGGAGTGGCACTATTAGGTGTGGCCTTGGAGGAAGTGTGTCCCCGTGGGGGTGGGGTTTGAGGTCTCTTTTGCTCAAGTTTTTTTTTTTTAAATATTTATTTATTTATTATTTATACAATATTCTGTCTGTGTGTATGCCTGCAGGCCAGAAGAGAAGGGCACCAGCCCTCATTACAGATGGTTGTGAGCCACCATGTGGTTGCTGGGAATTGAACTCAGGACCTTTGGAAGAGCAGGCAATGCTCTTAACCGCTGAGCCATCTCTCCAGCCCTTTTGCTCAAGTTTTACTCGGTGTGACGCTCAGTCCATTTCCTGTCACCTTGTGATCAAGGTGTAGCCAGCATCATGTGTCCCTGAATGCTGCCATGCTCCCCATCACAATGATAATGGACTAAAACCTCTGAAACTGTAAGCTACTAACTCAATGAAATGATTTACTCTTCTGTAAGACTTGCCCTGGTCATGGCTTCTCTTCACAGCAATAGAGACCCTAAGGCATCTGGGCACACTCTCTCCTGGACACTTGTACCTTAAAACAAATTTGTATGACTCTCCAGGGTTTCTTGGCTTTCTACTTCAATTTTTATAATGGAAGTTTGGCATTAAAATTTCAAGATGAATGTTTACAATATTCTAATTTCTTCTTCTTTTTTTCTTTCAAGACAAGGTATCATGCAGATCAGATTAGTGCAAACTCAATATACAGCCAAGGGTGAACTTGACCCCTGACCCTGTCTGTCTTTCTCAGGGGCTGGGATTACAGGTACATCCCACTATGCCTGGCCAGTATTCTAGTTTCAAGTAATTTGTTTTAAATACAAAGGAAAATAATTTCAAAATATTAAGCATGACAATTTAGTATAAACTTCTTATAACACCTAAGTCTAAACAAATTGCTCTTTTCTAAATTGTTACACATTTCTGAAAATTTCAAACAGAAAGCAACCACACATCTAAGTACTATGATTTCACAATCATCTAAAACAACTCTTAAAAAGATTTACTCGAAACATGCCTTTTATAAAACAGAATTTGAGCGGGAATTTATCTGGATGGACTGTGTGTACACACAGAGAGTGGAAGTGTGCCTTAGGCTACCGTCAGACCTGGAGCACTGCCAAAGTCAGACATTGTCTGCCACAGGGTGGACGAGGTAAAGGAAGTGGCCTGTTAAGAGGATTTTTAGGCATAGATTATTAATCAATTATTAATCATCATTGATTATTAATCAATGACTTTAAATGGCAGCCAGATATGAACTGCAGGGGACATACAGCATGAGACCACATGCAGAACTTAAAACATGAACTTGGCCTGCTCCCTTGCAGACAGACTCTATTTCAGCATGACCACAGAGACGCCAGCGGCCTGCTCCTAAAAATCATTCTCTGAAGATTCTGAAGTAAAACCAAGGTATCAATGTCATATAAACTAATCTTCACAAGGGCATCCTCTAGAGAGCAGAGTCAGCGTGAGGTCATAATTACTTGTTGAACTTCTTAATGGAGATGACAAACAGAGAACCATTTTACGGTATTTCTGTATGATGATGTCTTAAAGGAAGTGAGCAAGGTTAATCTGACAGTAGGTACAGTGATGAATTTAGAAAGGAGAAAAACGCTGTAAATGAGCAAAACGAAGGACTGTAAGTAGAGAGGGCCCGTCTCAATAAAACAGAGGCAGTGTGGCTGAAAGAGACTATGAAGCTACAGAATTTTGTATTTAAAAGAATATGAGTTTTTAAAATTGGCCTTACAAGACAGGAGAGATGGCTCAGTGGCTAAGAACACTGGCTGCTTTTCCAGAGGACCCAGGTTTGATTCCCAACACCCACATGGTGGCCCACAGCCATCTGTAACTCCAGTCCTAGGGGACCTGACATGCTCCTCTGGGCTCTAAGGGTACAGACACACACGCAGTCAAAACAGCCATACACGTAAAACTATTTGAAAAACTGGCTTTACAAAAATTACAGGACGTATGAACTATGGTCCGTATGTAATAATTTAGAAGGGAGAGTCCTACCTTATCCAGAACCACGTCACTCTTCCTGAGCTCCAAGACTTTGGACAGATACCGACAGAGTTCCGCATTCGCTTCTCCCTCGGATGGAGGGGCTGCGATCGCCACGCCAACAGCCTCGGTGGTCAGATCTGGAAAGAAATGGCATGAACTTCACCCTTAAGGGGATCTTTCCCTCCACGGAGCCAGGAACTGTCCAACCGTTTGATTTACCCGGCACAGGCTTTCGGTTAATAACTGCTGAGCTAAGTCCAGCCTCCTGCGCACAAACAAGGACTGAATGGTTAAACGAATACCTCAGGGAACGAGATAAATAGGTCCCTGCAGTTACAGAGCACACACCCACAAAAGAGAAAACCCTAACTGGGCAGGTCCAGAGTCCTAGGGAGCACCCTGGATTTAGGCACCTAGAAACTGCGTTTGAACAGCAAGAGCTCCAGGAAGGGAGTCGGGCTGGCCTTCAGCTCCAACGTCACTGAGGGAGTGCAGGGATGAAGCGGCACCCTTGATGGCACAGGCTTCAGGGTGTCACATCAGGGAAAGCCAGCCAAGCCCTAGGCCAGGTTCCTATCTCTTGTGATCCGTATTTTAAATGTCTTCAACATCCCAGGCGCTCAGCACTTGTCTCACTGTTGTGTTAGGAGCGGCGGGGCTGCATCCCCGGCACCCGGCCGCTGGCACGGCTAGCTTTACCCGAAATAATTACACGGAAACTGTATTCTTTTAAACACTGCCTGGCCCATTAGTTCCAGTTTCTTATTGGCTAGCTCTTACATATCGACCTAACCCATTTCTAATAATCTGTGTAGCTCCACGAGCCGGCTTACCAGGAAAGATCTTAACCTGCGTCTGTCTGGAGTGGGAGAATCATGGCGACTCCTTGAATCAGCTTCTTTCTCCCAGCATTCTGTTCTGTTTACTCCGCCTACCTAATTTTATGTCCTATTAAAGGGCCAAGACAGTCTCTTTATTTAACCAATGAAATTAACACAAGACAGAAGACTCTCCCCCATCAGTCTCACAGTTTACACTACCTGGAAGAGCATACAGCCTTCCCAAAGGGCTTCCCCATAATTTGGTACCACTGTTACCCCCATTGTACAGGTGAGGCAACTGAAGTCAAGCACACGCCCTGTAGCCTTCACAGTTCTTAGGAGAGAAAGCTCTGACTGGAAGCAGCCTGCAAATGCGCTTGAGCTGGTCCTGCACCCGGGGCCGCGTACACTTGTGCCCTGGGTAACAGCATGTCTCTATGTCCCACAAGAATGAGACAGTAGAGTGGCTCTTCCATTGTCTCTCAGATGCTCAGTTTTTCATCCTAGCATCTTTGAAATCAAGCCATGTCTTATAGAAGATAGAAGAGTTTAGTTGGTCTGATTTTTAAAAATGTACATAGACACTCATGTACCTTATAGTTGATTCCATATTAGATTTGGCTTGGGAAATACTGACCAAAAAGTTGGGCTTGGGGCACAAACCTATAATCCTTCCGAGGCTGAGGCAGAAGGTAAGTTTGAGCCTAGCATAGGCTACACAGCAATGAAAGAAAGGGGGGGGGGGGAGAAAGAAGGAAGAAAGTAAGAGGAAGGAAGGAAGGAAAACTGGCCAAAGTATGGTTAACAGATACAAGATAACAAGGCCATTAGCACAAACCAGACCTATCTAGCACTTTGATTTTGGTGTAGTATTATTTTCTTTTCTTTTTTAAGATTTTATTTATTTCTTATATATAGTATTCTGCCTTCATGTCTGCCTGCAGGCCAGAAGAGGGCACCAGATCTCATTACAGATGGTTGTGAGCCACCATGCGGTTGCTGGGAATTGAACTCAGGACCTTGGGAAGAGAAGCCAGTGCTCTTAACCTCTGGGCTATCTCTTCAGTCCCTTGGTGTAGTATTTTCAAAATATAAAAATAATTTGGTATACAAAGCTTTATCTTGAAAATAAATATTTTTCAAGATAATGCAGTTCAAACTTTAACTCTGCATAGGAATCAGCCAGGGGTCTCGGAGCTCAGGCTGTCTCCCACTTTTCAGGTTAATAATCATCAACGCTATACCAAGGCATCGCTTCTCTCTGTCGGTGTCTAGGCTACACATCGGTTTGCTTTGTTGTTTAGAGACAGGGTCTTGTTTGTACTGACGGACCTCAAACTCAAGATCCCCCTGCCTCAGTTCCTAAATATCTGTGACTTACTGGTACTTGATGTGACCAGGCCATCTCCACAGCACCACATTTTTTTAAAGGAAGAGATACAATGGTTTCCATTTAAAAAGGAAGAGATCTAATGGTTTCCATTTAAAAAGGAAGAGATACAATGGTTTCCATTTAACTTGGTATTAAATATTGCACATCTGTTTCAAATACCTCTGCGAGAGAATATAGGGTTTTAAATAGAGAAGTTCTAAAGCGTATCTAAAAATACCATTTATAGCCACAGGCTAGGCTACCAGCTAGCGAGGCAGAGAGAAGGTGAAGTGACAGCCTGGCCCACGCAGGAATCCCATTGGTGCTCAGATGTACCTGTTACAGCATTTTGTTTAGAGCCGGGTTTGGCATGGATGGCGATGGTGACACAGCCTTTAGGATCGGTTGCCACAGGCCCTGCGGGAGGAAGTGGTGTCTCTGGTTCCTTGGTTTGGTTTTTACCCTGAAATGACACACACAAGTTTACAGGTTACGAGACATTTCACCGCACTTTTCTCTTGACCCATTACTGCCCCTCACCTTCACTAAATCAGGCTTCCCATCCAGCAGCCGGGGGCTTTCCATCCCTCAAGGACCCTGTCAGCCTCCCACCAGCCCACAGTGTTTGTACGGCCTGGGAAGGCCTGACTCTGGCCTCCACACCTTTATGCTGCTTTCTCTTTAGTTAGTTTCAATTAATTCACTTTCTCCTCAAGTAGAGCTATTATTTACCATTTACTTGGTGTAGCATAAAGCTGGAAGTGTGTGTGTGTGTGTGTGTGTGTGTGTGTGTGTGCGCGCGCGCGCCCTGTTTAGATCTCATTCTGGCTACCTTAGAGCTTGTTACTATAGGCTGCTGTATAGTTCCTATTCTTCGCAAGTAGAGCCATTTATTAGTCATATTTATATCCAATGCGCCCTAAAGCTCGGAGTGGGTGAGAGGGTGAGGGGTGGGTTGCAGAAATAATAATAATAATAATAATAATAATAATAATAATGACGGGCACTTAAACGCCACGGTAAGAACATTTTATTCATAAATTCCATGGCAGTATGCAGACAGTGGATATGAAGAGATACTCCCTTGACCTCGAGGAGCTGGGACCACAGCGCGAGAGAACCATAATAAAGCACAAAATTGTGCTAACTGCACCAATGAAGTACACATCCACAGCCTATTTCTGCATGGAGAAAGGCACCCAGGGCTGGGGAGCTGGGGAAGGTGTCAGCAGGTGGCAGTGTCTGAGCAGGGTCACAGAAAGGAGTTGGAGTTGAGGAAGGTAGATGTCAGGGGAGGGGATGCCGCCTCCACGAACATTAGGAGGCAGAACGCAGTCTGCCGGGAAGTGCAACCCTCGAAGTGCGGGCTAATGCGCGGTTCAGAAGGCTCGGACCTGGACCTGGACCCGAGTGACAAGGTGTCAGGGAGGTCTTCCACCCGCCAGGCGCCGCTTCTAGTCCCTGCCGGTGTAGCCCCGTGGACCGCCCTCTCCACACCACGGGTCTTGCCACTGGCCTTGCTCGTCGCGCCGGCTTTCTTAGGCATCGTGGAACCAGACAGGAGTCTAGCGGGAGCCGAAACGCCGCGACCCACCGCCAGCTGCAGCATCCCAAGCCCGCCGGAGCCGCCAAGAGCCCCCGAGCGGAGTGGCGGAAGAGTCCTCTGCGCCTGCGCACGTCGCGGGCGGAAGCAGCGTGCACGCCCTGCCCTCATCTGAGAGCGACACCTTGCGCCCGGGTTTCGTTCTTTTGGAACCTGCCTGCCAGGGGTGTGATCACGTGTAGAGCCATCTTTGTCCTTAGGAGATGGTGACAAGAGTAGCCAGCCTCAGTGCTAGTCTTCCCCATGCGGCATCGTGGTCATTCGCACAGCGCAGTGCGAAAGGAGGGGATTTACAATGGGAAATGGAATAAGACGGCTCTCGAGAGAGGAGCAGAGGCCAGTCAAGACGACTGCTGAAGTCAGGGACTGGCCTTGCTTAGTTAGGGTAGAATGTGTGGGCAAGATACGCCCAGAGGTAGGAAGATATCTGCCACCTAAATGGGAGATAGTAACAGGTGGGATGGAGCATGAGTGCTGAACACAGCCATTGAAGGCTGCGCTCAGAATGGAGCATCTCAGTTCACCTCACAGACACAGCAGTCCCAAAGTGTGTGTGTGATGTGCTCATGAGGAAAGGGGCTGAAAGGCTAGGGACAGCAAGCTTGAAGGCTCAGGCAGGGATCCATGTGTTTAACCACACCACATCTATTTTTTTTTTTAAATAAATTACAATCGAGACACATGAAATCCCCTGGATACTTGACAGCTTCTCCGATCTAGCAGGTTTTCACCCCCACATCTGACTTCCAAGTCATTGTTGGTAACTAGAACGATAAAGACTTAGTTTAAACCTACGTACTGTGGCCATGGCAGAGCCTGGGTCACGTAATTGGAAGGCCCTACAGGCCACAGCCAGGGGCCAGAGGGGCGTTGACTGCAGGGCTGTGGGGCCATAGAGAAGAATTAAACTATCAGTAGATTCTTCTGTAGCTAAGCTGACAGAAAAATATCAGCACTCACTCTACTAGGGCCACTCTCCATGGGCCAATGGGGTCCTTTTCACTCAAACCACATTAGGCACCTGCTGTACCTCTGAACTGTCCCCCGCCCCGTTCTGTAAGCACTGGTTAAAATTAAAAGTGCTTAAGAGCTAACCTGTAATTAACTAGAACCTTTGTATAAAGCGTCTCACATTCAGCTCCTAGAGAAAAAGATACATGACAAAAGATAGGTAAACAAAAAGGATAAATTTATTTTAAAGATTCCAGGTGATGTCCCAATGTCAGTGAGTGGTTCCATCAGCCACATCCCTTTACAGTTGTTCATAAGAAGCAAGGCACATGAGTGCCCCAGAGTCAGAAGCACTAGTTACCTCTGCATGCAGCACTTGGTAAGGAAGAAGTACTCCCCACCGCTACTAGTCTTTGCTAAACTTCGGTTAAGCAGAAGCACACATTCCATGGGTATTCCAGCTAACTGAGGCTGGCAACATGAGACCACGGTACCAGGGCCAACAGAAAACAGTGCCCTTTCTTCAGTAACTCCAAGAGGCCCTGGCCACCAGCACATCACCTCCCTGCCCTCTTGAAAATACAAAATAGTACTTTTGGTGAGATCTTTTATATCCTACTTAGAAAAAATTCTTAAGTTGATACTTAGAAGAATTTTTATTTTTAACAATTTTCCACAACTACTGATGGACTGATACACCTTAAGCTTAATTTACACAAGGTTAATTTTTTGTAAGATGACCATTTTCAAGGGGAAAATGTTATCTCACTTGTATTTTAAAAATCTGCTTTATAAAAATGTAGAAATGTCACTCTGCCAGATATCCTTCTGACCCACTCTTGTTATAGACGCGCCAGCCACATTGAGAGGTCACACTTATCAAGCATGTTGCTTCTTGGCTAGAACTATGTAACTGACAAAAAGCCTCCTTCCTTTTCAGCAGGAGTGACTGGCTGGACAGCTTCATGGTGTCAAAGCAGCTGTGAGGGGCTTAGCGCTCTCTCCTGTTCCTGCTGCTGCAGGTGCTATCCTGGTACCCCATCTTCTCTCCCGTTCCTGCTGCTGCAGGTGCTATCCTGGTACCCCATCTTCTCTCCCGTTCCTGCTGCTGCAGGTGCTATCTGCTGGTACCCCATCTTCTCTCCCGTTCCTGCTGCTGCAGGTGCTATCCTGGTACCCCATCTTCTCTCCCGTTCCTGCTGCTGCAGGTGCTATCTGCTGGTACCCCATCTTCTCTCCCGTTCCTGCTGCTGCAGGTGCTATCTGCTGGTACCCCATCTTCTCTCCCGTTCCTGCTGCTGCAGGTGCTCTCCTGGTACCCCATCTTCTCTCCCGTTCCTGCTGCTGCAGGTGCTATCTGCTGGTACCCCATCTTCTCTCCCGTTCCTGCTGCTGCAGGTGCTCTCCTGGTACCCCATCTTCTCTCCCGTTCCTGCTGCTGCAGGTGCTATCCTGGTACCCCATCTTCTCTCCCGTTCCTGCTGCTGCAGGTGCTATCTGCTGGTACCCCATCTTCTCTCCCGTTCCTGCTGCTGCAGGTGCTATCTGCTGGTACCCCATCTTCTCTCCCGTTCCTGCTGCTGCAGGTGCTCTCCTGGTACCCCATCTTCTCTCCCGTTCCTGCTGCTGCAGGTGCTCTCCTGGTACCCCATCTTCTCTCCCGTTCCTGCTGCTGCAGGTGCTATCCTGGTACCCCATCTTCTCTCCCGTTCCTGCTGCTGCAGGTGCTATCTGCTGGTACCCCATCTTCTCTCCCGTTCCTGCTGCTGCAGGTGCTATCTGCTGGTACCCCATCTTCTCTCCTGTTCCTGCTGCTGCAGGTGCTATCTGCTGGTACCCCATCTTCTCTCCCGTTCCTGCTGCTGCAGGTGCTCTCCTGGTACCCCATCTTCTCTCCCGTTCCTGCTGCTGCAGGTGCTCTCCTGGTACCCCATCTTCTCTCCCGTTCCTGCTGCTGCAGGTGCTATCTGCTGGTACCCCATCTTCTCTCGGCCATCTAGAAGTCACTGGCAGCCCCGTGACAGGCAGAGCAGGATGGGAGTGACAAAGAATCCACTTAGATCATCCCTGTGGTCTGTTTGCAACAATTATTGTCACTGTATACAAGCTCCACTTACAGTTTTAAACAGTACTATGCAATACACTACTATACTATTACAAAATACCTTTCTATAAATACACTGAAAGTTTTCTTGGGTGTTTTTAGTCTTACTTTTAGCACTATTCCAAATGCTAACAACCAGATATTTCAAAACCCAAATATAAAGTCAGCTTTCTTAATTTTCTAAAATTAGTTATTTGAGTTAAAAAGAATTCTGTAGGAATACTGACCCATTTCACATAACTTTCAAAATAGTAAAAACAAAAGCTTTTAAAAAAGTGAAAACACCCACATCTGCTACATAAGACAAAAATCTTTCAGTTCCCAAACTACTGAAAGACCAAGAGTCAGTGGAGCTATGAATCACACAAGACGAAGCGGAAAGACTGCGCTTTTCACACAAACCTGGTTCTCTTTGCCCCGAGGGTTAGAAGAAAATGGAAAACCTGCCTTTGAATCATGCAGAGATGTAAATAAACTTTTACTTCCTCTAAGAAACTAAAATGTTTCTTATTCTGTAGTTATAAATACTCATGACACTCGACTATTTGTGGCCAGTTGTTTATGCTCTGTGATTAGACTGAATGGTCATTAACACTAGATTATGTATAAAATATTATTTCCGGTATTTGTCCATCTTCTATTGAAGTGCCATTATTATTGCCAGGGGAGCTGAAAAATAAAAAAACAGTCTTGCTTGCAGCAGGGGTCTCATGTACCACTTTCTTCAGTCCTTTTGTTCCATAGTGAGAATCTGGACCCTAAATGAGAAGCAGTGGTTTAGTGACTGTCATCTAGGAAGCTCACTGTGTTCTGCCCTAGTCAGTACAGATCCCGTATAAAATTTCACTCAGTCATTCAATGAAATATGGAGTTTTTGCTTAAAAACAATTTAAAACACCAATAAAGAGTGAGGCCATGAACAACTGTGGAAAGGTCTCAGTCTTAAGGGAACAGTACTTTCTCTTGTGTGGAAAGTTCAATTTCTTTAAACAAAGGGATAGTCCTTAGGAAGAACTCTTCTCTCAGAATAGCGTAGCGCTGACAGCACTTAAAGCCATCGAGTGTCTTTGCTCCGCTTTCCCCTCCCCGTTTCTAAGAGGCTCCCCTACCAGGGGCTTTGTAAGCATGGAAGGCAGGAGCCACACTGAGTCCGGGCAGCTCTTACCTTGAGGGTTGCGCATGCTGTGTAGCACACGTTGGGCAGGATCTCTATAGGTTCTTTGAACATGACCCTGAATGTGTTGGCGGTGCCGTCACAACTGAATCCAGTATCATTCTGTCCCAGGGTTTGTTTTTTCTCATATTCAATGATCTGTGGTTTAAAAGAGAAGTGACATCTAAGTTAAACTCTAACAGTCTTGCAGAAAGAATGGGAAGCTTTAGAAGCTGCAGCTCAGACTGTACACTTTCCATGTTCTAATTTTTCTCCACTTATCTCTAATTATCAGATGCCTTTTTAAAGCATTCGATGGTCAGGAAACAGCTCTTTAACTCATGCATCGCAGGAAGGGGGGGGAGGCATCGAGCAGTGGGGGCTTGGCTGCAGAAGAGAGGCTCCATACAAAACACAGTTTGGTGTGTGAACTTTTAGAATGCGGACTTGAGCAGGGCACAGCAGTGCACGCCTTTAATCTCAGCACTTGGGAGGCATAGGTGATCTCTCTGTGTTTGAGGCCAGCCTGATCTATCTACAAAGTGAGTTCCATGGCAGCCAGGACTGACAGAGAAACCCTATCTGCGGACGAGTGGAGATGTGAACTTGAGATATTGGAGGGGAAAAAAAAAAAAAATCTTTCTCCTTGTTTAGCCCATGTTTTATTCATAGGATAATCTCTCAACATTTTCAGTCTCAGTATTTACTGAAATTAAAATGCCCCTAAATGCACTGCCATGTCTGTGAATAATTTAAATTAGCTCTATATTATTAGTCCTAAGCGATACACGAGACATCATGGGAACCCTCCAGGAGAGTCAGCCAATAGAGGACATGAAATATGCAGGCAGTGCCAGTTCAGAGGATAAAGAAGCTGGACAGAGAGGAAACTGCTTCATGGAGGACGGCTTGAAAAGCTCAAGGCAGAGCTTACACCAATTACTAGGAGGACTTCCATACATGGGACAGTGCCCCAAGCCTGCCTTCCTGCCAACAGTCTAGGAAACAGTACGAAAATGGACAAAAGCCACCAGTACTTGGGAGACACAAACACACGGATTTCTTTAAGTTCAAGGTCAGCCTGGTGTACAAAGCTAGTTCTAGGACAGCCAGGACTACACAGAGAAACCCTGTCTGGAAACAAAACAAAAGAAGCAAGAAGATAGTGATCCTGGAATTATTTCCAATTTCAACCTCTGGCCTTTATGTACACTACACCCACCTGCACAGACCAGCACATACGTGTACCTACCACTACCCCCCCTCCCCCAAGCACACAAACTTCAAGGAAACATTCACTAAGAGCATTTGGCATTACAGTATGTTAGGAACTATATCTCAGCTGGTAGACACATGGTATTAGGAGAAGTTGCCCAGAAAAATGAGGCTTCACTACAGCGGTTAAAATGGCTCTTGTCACTAGGTAACATAACTGGCTAGGTGAATTTGGATGGACTTCATGGAGGGTATCTAAACATTTTTAAATACTGGTCAACACTCAGATGAAACTTCAAGAAATTTCACAGGAAAACCCATCAATTCTGTCTCCTATTTTTAGACCCTTGTATCCAGACAGGAACTATTTAATGGCAAGGGCTAAGTAGTGGCTGCCTTTTAAAGCAAATAAAAAAGCTGGACAGTAAGGAGCAGAATGAAATCTTCATAACAGGGATGGGGAGTACCTGTATGTTCACTTGATAATCCGTGGGCCCATGAATAGATCCATACAAACCAAATCCAACTACAGAGATTCTTCTGTTTACTGTGAACCTGCGAGAAAGGATCCCATTACAAAATAACATAAAAAATTTTCTAAGTGTTCATATTTTGAAGATTATAGCTTTTTAAAAGTGGTATCTGGATTTTAGCTACAAAAAGGAAATCATCATAAAAGGCACTTTTGAAAATGTCATCTTCACTGCCCACAAATCCTAATGCTAACCGAAGAGGCCCTCAAGCAAGATTTGTTCCGTACAGAGGATTGTAACCTGAACACCTGCTCTCATACAGTGGCTGACTCTGTGCTGCACGCACTCATCCCAATCTCCCTCGTGACCATTCTAGTCATTAAGATCAAAGTCCCATCCCAGCACTCGGGAGGCAGAGGCAGGCGGATCTCTGTGAGTTCGAGACCAGCCTGGTCTAGAAAAGCTAGTTCCAGGACAGGAACCAAAAGCTACGGAGAAACCCTGTCTCGAAAATCCAAAAAAAAAAAAAAAAAAAAAAAAAAGATCAAAGTCCCAAACCTGGACATTCTGTCAGTTCAGTGAATACTTACCAAGGGCCTAGCATATTCTGTCTGTGTGGCTGGTCAGGAAACAATGGTGAACAAGGCACAGTTTCCGTCTCTGCCATATGGGAGACAGTGATAAACAAGAAGAGAGGGACAAATACTAACTCTATATTGTGGAAAGAGCTGAAAATGTACTAAGCTAACTGCTGGTGGTAGATGGGTAGAGACAGGCACCAACTCACATTGGTGGATTTGGATAAAGGCTCCAGAAAATAATTAGCAAGTCTAGTTTGGTCACAATAGTCAAGAAATACTGATCTATCTTACTTCATTTACTGTATGTGTAAAAAAGATATTCCCTACAAAGCAACTGAAAAGACCGTATGACACACAATGGTTACAGGTAACCTGTATCCCAGCATCTGCAGTTCCGATCACTATTACTACTCCGGCACATGCACTGAGCCCACAGCTCCTCTTACTATAACTCACCTCCTTGAAATAGCACAGCAGCCCTACACATTAGTGAACTATCTATTTTTATTCTCCCCAGTTTCTGTAGTCAGTGAAACAAGCTCTAGCCAGGCATGGCTGCAACAACTTTCACGTTGAGGTTACCAGGAAGTCAAAGCAGGAGGAAACCTTGTGCTCGCAAGATCAAGACCGTCCAGACAACACAGTGGAAGAAAGAAGGTGCTGGGAACACAAAGGTCATGCAAAGGCTGCTGTGCTCACAGAGCACCAGGGAATATTCATTCAAGGTTGTCTTTTCAAGGAAAAATATGTATAACCTGTTTTCTGCCTAGAAGGCTGGGATTAGAGGTGGCTATTAGCCTAGGCGATCCATGCACTATCTGCAGGACCTGGACATAGCAAGCTCCCACAAGCAGAACTGGAGACATTTAATACTTACTCTAGGTGACCTTTGTATTATTATCCTCCAAGCTGCCACAACCATGACTGAAGGTGGCTAATAACCCAGATGACCTCTGCCCTAGCTACATGACCTAGACCACACCTCCTCCATAGGCCTAACTACCGAACCCATCTTCATGGGAAGAGACATGCACTTGGATAATCTAGGCTATTTGCAGTTCTTCATTATATGATGATATATGATTCATAGCAAAACTGTTTCATAGCTTCCATCATTTCCTTAGACTCAATTCCCAGGAGCAGTGCTGAGGAAAATCAAAGGCATACTCTCAAGCTTTATGATATTTGTCAAACTGCTTCAGAGAGTCCCCCACTTGTCATTTATCTTTAAACTTCATGGTTTGGGACATAAAATTCTTTACCAAACAATGATCTGTTCTAGGCTGAAAGGCCCCATCATCCTCATCTGTTGTAGTACGTTCAAAGCTTTGTTTTTGTTTAATGTTAAAACTTTAATTTATATAAATACTGCATGGGATCAGTAAAGATCCAACTCCAGTGGCCAATCCTTCCCTCTTTTATTCCGTTCTAAATGCTCACCTGGCCTCATGGCTCTGACCTCTATAGTGTGGTCCATATCTCACTCCTTATAGACTCAGTGTTCTTTTTCGTATTTGAGCTGCTCCTCCCTTTGGTAAAATACAATTTATTCTTCCAGATTAACTTTATATTTTCTGAGGCCACTCCTCTACCAAAAACATGGGACTTCTGAAAGGAACTTTCTAGCATACACAATTTAAGAGGCTAATTCATCCTTAGTGAAGTGTAATTTCAGGCAAAGTTCTCTAGATCCCACAGAACTATTTGCTGACCATTTTGGAGTTTAATCCTACTCTATTATAGTAACATTCAACATAATAAATATAACTACAATATAGTAAATATATAACTACAATATAGTAAAATATGTACTTAAAATGTTATTTACTCAATATATCTCATTGTTTTACATTAAAGTCTTGGGTTTCTTACTGTGGTAATACACATATAAAGTGTACCACATTAGTCATTAAGTACACAGTAAGTGGCATTAAGTACATTTACGCCACTGTACACTGTGACCACTGTTCATTTCTGTAACTGAGGGCTTTTATTTTAACAGGGTTTACAATAATGGTAAGAATAATCTCAAATTCACATTTTAAAGCAGCAATTATTCTCTTATTAGTTCCAATAGGCTTTTGTTAGGTTCTCTTCACCCTAAGGTTCAGGTACAAGGAGCCAGTGACACTACAATTCCTATGATGTACAGAATAGATCCAAGACTCCCAGAATTCATGAAATGAAAACTGTTTGCAGTGACTGTAATCATATTTTATTTACAAGCCAAAGATATTTTAGTGATTTCCATAAATGGCAAGTACCATAAAAATAAATAAAACTTACGTATTGTTGCCATTGGTAATTACACATATAGCCACACACATACAAAATTTATACCCAAACATGTGTAGTCACATGTGAAGACACACACAGACACTCCTATCTACCTCCCACTTAAATCCCATGATTTAACACCCTACACTGTTATCTTTATTTTACAAAAGAGCAATTGGAGTTCACGCATCCGGTGACTTGACCAAGGCTGCCCTACTAAGAGCTGCTGCACCTGGACAAACCCTTGAGATTCAGCCCAGAGCAGTCTCCTGCACTGCATACATTATCCTTTCCCTTATCCTCAGCTCCGTAGGAAAGCTGAGCTTCAGTTTGCTTGGGAACATGCAAATAAAGTCTCTAGCAGAAAAGGACTAAAAAATCTAAGCAAATATTTTAGAATCTGAACAGCTTTCAGCCAGTAGGTGAGTTCAGATATGGAGATATGATACAGAGAAGTGACTCAACTTTGTCAACTTCTGGAACGTAAGGCATTAACATGTGCATGCTTTGTAGCCGACACACGTAAAGCACATACACACGGAGCTGTGCATTTGGGTTTGCCTGCTAGTGTCCTCCCAAAAGTCTGTGTACTGGAGTATGAATCTTCCTGTCCGCTTCATTATTTTGCCCTAAACTTTTATCATCAGCTGTACTTATTTCTCCTTTGTTTTACAGATAGACCATTTATCCCTTAAGCATGACAATATGAATCATTTCAAGTCAGTAAAGGAAGAAGAACAAAACATTTATTTGCCTGGCAGTGGTGGCGCATGCCTTTATCCCAGCACTCAGGAGGCAGAGAAAGATGGATCTCTGTGAGTTTGGGGCTAGCCTGGCCCACAGAGTGAGTTCCAGGACAGCAAAGACTTGTTACACAGAGATGCCCTGTCTTAGGGAAAAAAAATAAAATAAAAAATTATATGTGTGTGTGTGTGTGTGTATATATATATATATATATATATATATATATATATATATGTAGTGTGTGTATGTATAAAATAAATATTTTGTATTATGTATTTATATATTATAGAAAAACTGAGCTTCCTAGAGCTATGTACTAAAGTACATCCAGAATTAATGGAAAAGGCCTCTCCTTTCTGATTATATGGGGCTCTAATTTATAACTGCATCAATGACTCTTTTGCTAGGAGAAACCTAGCAAAGGTGGGTATCTCTAGCTAGAGTTTCAATTCTTAATTTCTCTTCAGCGGTCAATCATTGTTAGTGAAATGTTTTCTAGACTTAATCTATTAATAGTTATCAGCATGTACAAAGGTAAAATTTTATCAATGGCACCCCTACCACCTCCGGAGTCTTGCTGTCTATAGGAACCACTGTTTTCTTTAGTCTCCCACAGTGAAGAGCTATATTAACAGATCACTGTCCAAATATACTCTATCTGTTCTCACAGCACTCTACACCCTATGGTGAGCGGTCCAGACTGTGTCTCTCATTCAACTCTTATCTGAATGTGGCTTCCTTCAGGAGCTAACCACATGGTATTCCCTTCTCTCAATGCTCCAGGAACCTCTGTTCCTTGGAGGTCTGATACAAACTCACCTGTGCTCTTTGTGAATGGACAGTTCTCTGACAACTTAACTCCTCCCAGGTAACTGGTCTACTCAGGCTTTCTTCTCCGGTCAATTCTGATAATTTATATTTGCCTATAAAATGATCCATTCCATCAAGATGTTCAATTTATCAGCACAGAGTAAACCCAGAATTAAAGTAAAAATTTTAGCATATGATAGTCACATTTTGATTTCTAAATAGGAATTTGAAGAATTGCTTCTTCTAGGACGGTTTGTCCTATTGATCTTTTAAGGAAAACAGATTATGTATTCATCAGTTTTAACTCACTCCGTTCTTCATTTGCCTATTTAATTTCTCTAGTGCTCTTTCTATATCCACTTTCTATTCACTTTGATTAAACACTTAAATCACTTGTTCCTACTCTTATTTGCTAAAAGCAGTTATTTTTTCTTTGTGTGCAGCTTTGGCCTCATCCTGTATTAAGCAAACTATAGAATGAAATATTGGCTAACTGCCTCTCACACGCTGAGGAGGCTAAGAAAGGCTAAGCACCAACTGCCGCCCTCCCCCACGTGCCCAGCCCACACTCCGGCAGATACCTGATTCTGTCGCTTGTCCCACTGTAGCCCCAGCGGCTCTCTACTTGCTGGAATCTATTGATGCAGCACTCCTTTCCTCGGAGGCAGCAGCGTGGTCGATCAATGTATTCTACTCGGGGTTTAGGGTTGACGGTAAAATGAAGAAAGAGGTTTACCACTTCACGGTCTGACAAAATTCCAGACTGAGCAGGACCTGCAGAGTTACAAAATAAACTTAGCATATAAAATTTTAGCATACATTTGAAGTTTTGATCAATCTTTTCAAAACTAACCTGAAAGAATGTGTTAAGATATGTGAAAACTGAGACGGAGCTCCCCATAGCAGAAATCATTTTCTGTCTTCTCTTGAGTACCACTGACTTCCACCTAACAGAAGGAGCATGCTCTCTGTGGGACCCTCCACCTCCCACTTCCTACCTGTTCAACACTAGAATCTCAACAAGGGACATTTCTGCCCACAAAGACAGGAACTAAGCTTTCTTTTTGGAATATAAAAGCGAGCAGATAGTGAGAACTGTGGTTGAGAAAGCTAGGGAAATAGAAAACTACACAGTACAATTTCCCAATTCACTTTTTCTTATTTGAGAAAAATGCCAAATACTTTCCAAATACTTTGAACTTACCAGAATAGTGCTCCCTCATAAAAGAGGCCAGAAGATCCCTTGCAAAGCCAGTAGAAACAGTGGAGTAAGAATCTTCAAAATACTAGGAAATTTGGAATAAGAAGCCTACTGATTTTAAAACCCAGAATTTTAAAAAAATTCTGTATGAGAGCCAGGTGTGGTGGCACATCCCAGAACCTGGGATGCAGAGGCAGCTGAATTTCTGTAAGTTCAGGGTCAGCACACTCTATATAGCAATTTCCCAGTCACAGCAGCTATATAGTGAGACCCTGATTCAAATTAATTTAATTAATTAATTTAAGAATCACATATAAAATGACAAAATATATTGGCTTGACATACATGATGCAAGCTTTATTGTAATCTTTGGATAAGAAAAGAATATAAAGCAATCAGAAAGAGCTGGCGACAGAGAGGGAAGGAGGAGTGAAGGAAGGTACTAAAAAACAGAACTGAACCTACTATGATGAAACAAGAGACGAAGATGGAAATTTCCTCCAGATAAGGGCGAGGAGACGCCTCAGTCTGTAAGGTTGAACCCCAGCACCCATGTAAGAAGTCAGGGATGGTGGGGCATACTTGCAATCCTAGCACGGGGAGGTCAAGCCAGGCAAAGTCCAAGTGAGAGACTGTCTCAAAAAGAAAAGCCATGTAAACAGTTCCTAAGGAAAAACACCCAAGGCTGACCTCTGGCCTCTACATATTTGTGCATAACATCACAATACACACAAACACACACACACCTCTTTTTCAGGTTAAAAATGTATGTCAAGCCTATGGCAAGAGAATTTTCCTTAGTTGAAAAGAATCACTGGGTAGTTATGGCACACCTTTAATCCCCGCACTCAAGAGCGGAAGAGCAGAGGCAGGCAGATCTCTGAGTGCGAAGCCAGCCTAGTCTACAAAGCAAGTGCCAGAGACAGCCAGAGCTACACAGAGAAAATTTGTCTCAGGGAAGGAGGGGAGGAAAAGGGAAAAAAGAAAGTCTTCAGGTGATGAAGAACATGTAATAGCTTAAAGAAGGTAAAATAGCATGCGCTAAAATTAACAGCAGTAAATCAAAAAATTAATATCCGTTGTGTAAAATCATATCTCTAATCCATCATCAACAACCTATGGGAAAGCAAAGATACTGTAGAATCCTAGAAGTGCCAGAGAAAAGGTACGTATCCTTCTATAGTAATAAGAGGTAATAAGAAGACTGGCTAAGGGAAATAACGGAAGCCAAAAGGAAATAGGACTACGTCTACATAACAGATCAATCGCTGCTAAACTGAAGCTGTATTCCTCGAAAACTGAAAGCAGGAAAAGATGTTTACAGACGGACACAGGGAAAGAAGGGCTAAGAGAATCTGACAGCCCACCTGCTGTAAGAAGGCTAACTGTCCAGTGTGACGGACGATCCGATAGCAGCACAGCAATCACCAGAGAGGATGAACTGACAGGATCTAAATGACTACTGATTTTAAGATAACAACATCTATGGGCTTTAAGAGTTAAAATACATGAAATGGCAACAAACACTGAAGGGGGTTAAATATCTTTTGTACTGCATGGGGAATTTTAATTTGAAAGTTTTAATTTTTAAGATTTAACTTTAAAATTTCATAAGGAAGCATCTGTGTATTATCAAGTAACCCACTAAGTAGTAAAAGATACTGATTTTTCTTTAAAATTGCTTAACTTTTCTTACTTTTTCACACGAAATTAGTAAGAGAATGTTTAACAAGCAAATAGAAGAAAACAAAATACCAGAAATCACTTGGTTATTTCTAAAGAAAATGAGGAGAGAAAGCAAACAAACAAAAACCACCACAAACCAGAGCTGAGTCAAGAACAAGTAGCAAAATGACAACTCAAATGTCCCAATGACCTATCACATGTCAATCAAATGTGCCTATTAAATGTAAATCAAATGTACCATAACCTTTTAAGTATAAATTTAAATCTATCAATAACCTATTAAATGTAAATCAAATATTCCAAGTAAAAGATAATGCTTGTAGAATTGGATACCTTAAAAATACAGTTTATAAGGCCGGGCGATGGTGGCGCACGCCTTTAATCCCAGCACTCGGGAGGCAGAGGCAGGCGGATCTCTGTGAGTTCGAGACCAGCCTGGTCTACAGAGCTAGTTCCAGGACAGGCTCCAAAGCCATAGAGAAACCCTGTCTTGAAAAACCAAAAAAAAAAAAAAAAAAAAACCAAAAAAAAATACAGTTTATAGGAACATTGCTGATATGCAAAGATAATGAAAACCTAATTAAAAGAATGGGAAAATATAGAATACAGGTCTAGAAAAACAAATTAATAAGCACTTACCCAGTTTGATTCCCAGCTCCAAGGGGACCCAACACCTTGGCCTCCTTGGGCAGCCACACTCATACATATACCTCTCTCTCACACACACACAATTAAATTAATCAAATTAAATCTTTAGAAAACATGGAATACAAAAAACTTTTTAAAAAGATTGTAAAACTACGTAAGTGTCAAAGATGTAAAAAAAGCTTTACTAGATTTAAAGCAGGATGTATCATAAAGATAAATAAATCCAGTAAAAGTAATTAAATACAAAATTTAATGTACCTAATAATAGAATCTTAAAATATACAAAGAAAAGATTTATGGAACCAAATGGGGACATATTTTCAAACAAAACCAAAAACTTGAAAACTTGAACCTATTTCTCTCAGTAACTGACAAGACAAAAGGAGACAGTAGATAGATACAAATTTTGGACACTATTTTTAGAATATTTATTTTGTAGATACAGGATTATTCAAGCTGTTAAGCAAGCAGATTTTCTGTAATCAACAACTTAGAATGTATTCATCTTAGAATGTGGCTATTTACTAACACTGGACATGCTGGGATATAAAATAAGTCAACAAATTTCTAAGGACTGAGATGACACAGAATTTTCTAACTATACTGGAATATAAATTTTAAGAGAAAATAAAAATAGAATCCACAAATACTTGAAAATTAAAACAAATGCCTATAACCACAGCTCTGAAAAGAAAACTTTACCACAAAATTAAAGTTGGGATTTTGCTGCTGCTGCTGCTATAGGTTACACCCAATACTGTGTGTGTATTTGCTGGGAAGCACTCCAGGGTTTAAGATGAAATAATCCCCTTCCCCCCAAGTTGCTTTTGGTCATAGATTTCAATCACAGCTATAGAAAATAGACCGCCACAATAACAGTACACAGTGTTAAGACTGTCACGTGAAGAACCAGGCTGAACTCAACTCTGCCCTTCCATGTTAGAAGAGCTTTGCTCTTTCATTTCGGATAAACTAGTGCTACGCACACCCATTCTCAACTTAGTAGTTCTACTCTGCTACACTCAACAGAAATATTCATAGGGACAAATGACATGTATATGGATCTTCTTTATAGTTATTCTTTTATTCCATGACTGTACTGTCTGCATGTATGTCTGTGTATCATGTGCACCTTGGTGCCCAAAGAGGACAGAAGAGGGCACCAGGTCCTTTGGGATTGTAGTACAGACTGTTGGGACCCACCATGTGCGTGCTAGTCACACCTGAAATTCAGTATTAAGTCTGTCTCATTTTAATCAGAAGTAGCACCCATAAATGGCAAAAAGATTTGTCCCTATAACCTTAGGAAAGGCAATTAATCTTTTCTAGTTCACTCATCTAAGCTATAAAATATGGACGCCATCATAAATAGTTCTTATGATAATTAAATGAAACTATATACGAATATATTTATTTTGTAACTAGTACTTATTAAGTCATACCTTCTAGTTTGCTTTGGAAATAGTTTCAAATTAGTGAAGGTACAGCCTTACCTGCTGCAAATTCCTCAATTGTCATCAGTGGGAACCGGATTAAGGAAAGCGCTTTTCCTAGAACTTTCTGTTTGTTTCCAAACGTCACAGGCAATTGCTGTCTCTGGCATTCTGCTTCTGCCCAACGTACAATAGCTCCAAAAAGTCGACTTTCTCGAATACTTAATGTGTCTCTTTCTAGAACTGCACAGAGTGTATCTACAGAGAAAATACAGTAAAGAACATTTTGTTCTTAATAACGTATTATTTAAGTTTTTAAAGCTCACTAAAAAAAACCAAAAGCCAACAAAACTACAGACTCAATACAACTATTAATAAAAAGTAGGATTTCCAGGTAAGATGGTGGATTAGCAGCTTCCTCTGTGCTGCCCAGTGATAAAAAGGAGCCAGGGTAAAAACAACCCACTTTTTATAAGAGCCAAAGCAAAAAGAATCAAGACTTAGATGAGACCTTTGCAGAGCAGCAGCCAGGAGTGGCCGCCCTGGCACCCACTGACCTGATCAGCAGTATCTGCCAGGGGAGAGCTCTTTCCTATGGACACAGTAGTGAACTGGAGAGTAGATATGGTCAGACGCTGACATGGTAAGCGGTGAGCAAAGAGGCGGCCTGGGCAACACAGGCTGTGGGAGTGGAGGAAGAAGTATAGCAGAGGAGTCTCGTGCTGAGACTCTCCAGTAGAGCTCTGAAGAACAGCCTGGAAGAAACCCCCTTACCAGACCTGCCTGAGACAGACAGCAACAAGAACGCTGCTGAACTTGCTGTAGTCTCCTTGTGCACAACAAAGGTAATTATCACAGGTGGCTGGCCCTCCATATCCTAGGCCTCAACCTCAGGAACCCCAAGCATGGAAAGAACCTCTGCTCCCTCGAACACTAGAGATGGCAAGTTGTAACTAACTGGTGGAGTAGAAATGGAGTCTCTGGCAGAAACAAAGTCCCCACTAGTCCTCCCCCCAGCCTCCACATGGAACCCCTCCCAGCAAGGAACACCAACCTGTTTGAATGACTGAGACTATCAGTCTTCCCTCAACCTGCAGAAGACATCAGATGGGAAGAAGAAACTACATTCATCCCAACTGGGAATCAGAAATAATCATGGTCCTAATAACCTTCAGTTCCATTTTAGTGCTCAACATTATTCTTTATTTTACCTATATTTGTATTTTTCTACTTTGGTTGCTGGTTTATCACCTTTCTGGTCTGAACAGGCTTTTATCATTTTTTTTCTGTGCCTACTATGTATTATTTTCTTACTACTTCCCATGCCCCTGACCCATATATTTTCCTTCTCAATAATGCGTGAATTTTCCTGCTTTTCTCTTTTCTATTACCTCCTCATTTTACAACCTATTCATAATCTTAGCTATAAAAATCTACAACTACATTTCCCCCAGTCAGTGCCATCACTGTTTCTGAGCCTTCTCAGGATGAGCGTCTTCTGTGACAGATTAATATCACGGCTGCTGCCAAACCAGTTTGTGTTACTTCAATTGGCTTCCCCACTAAATAGAGGTCGGAAACATGAATCCCATGAATATAATTTGCCAGAAAGTCTTAGAAAAGAAACAGAAAGAGTAAGAAAAAGGGGAAAATAAAAGGCTGGAAGACTAGTCCAACCAACACACAAAAAAGAAAGAAAAAAATATGCGATTACAAGCCCCTACGACACTTTCACGAGTTCACTATTCCTCAAACATAGGAAATCAAAGTTGAATGAGATCACTGAAATGCCAGAAAACAATTTCAGATTCCTACTTTTATAAAGCATCATAGGGGAAAGGGAGAAGGGTCATCGGTAAAATACTTCTGCAAGCACGGAAACCTGGGTTCAGAGCTCACGGAAAGTGTAAGGTGTGGCGGCATGTCTCTGAACCCAGCGCAGGAGAGTCAGAGATGGGAATTGTCTTGCTGAGTAGCTAGAGTAGCCAGGTAGTGATTTCCAGTTTCAGTGAGAGATCTTGTCTCAAAAAACAAGGTTAACAAGTGATTGAGAAACACCAGATATTGGTTTCTGGTAGACAGATAGACACACACACACACACACACACACACACACACACACACATCAATGGTCACGTGGAGACTCAAACAGAAGAATGAGGCAATAAGGAATTAATTCAGGGCCTAACCACAGCACAGAAAGTATCAAAGCAGATGTAATGGTCAGTTATTTGGAGGAAAAAAATAAAAACTAAAAATTAAAGGGAAAAATTCTACAAGGAAACTAAGTAGAATTTCTGGGAATGAGTTAACTAAATAAAAAGCATTGTGGAAGCACCTTCAAAAGACACGACAGAGCAAAGAAAAGAATATCAAGAATGGAGGACCAGGTGGAGACAATGATACACCTTGATTATACAGAAAGAAAAAAAGTGAGAATGACCAAAGCTTCCACGAACTCTAGGATATATTCAACAGAGCAACATAAGCAAACCAATAATACGATACAACACAAAAGCAGACTTATGACAGAAATTACATAATTATCAACAGACATAGAAAAGGTATTTGGTGTAGGTTTCAAAAGCTCACACCAAGACCCAGAATCTCATCCTACAGATCACAATCCAGCTCCTACTGTTCCAGCTCCATGCTCCTTGCCATGATGATAATGAAGTCTCTGAAACTGTAAGCAACTGCCCAATTAAATACTTTCTTTTATAAGAGCTGCCTTAGTCATGGTGTCTCTTCATAGCGATATAACAGTGACTAAGACAATGTATGTATATGGTATATGTATGCATGTATGTATGTATTTTTGAGACAAGTCTCACTAGATAGCCCAGGCTAGCCTCAAACTTATCATTCTCCTGCCTCTACCTTCTGAGTGCTAGAATTATAGATGTACACCACCCTGTCTACCCATGGATACTGTACTGAGAAGAGATCTGCTGGAAGCATCACCAGTTACGGAGTTGTAGTACAAACCCAGGTCAAGGGTGATAGTAGCCTGAACCAGGGCGGCAGTGGGAGTGTCAGATTCTAACACGATACAGAGGAAGGACTCAAGGATAACGGCAAATGCAGAGGGATCAGGAGGTATTAGCTGAGATGGGGAAGACTACAGGAAGAACAGGCTTAGGCTGGGAGAAAGAATGAAGTTGAATTTTGGACATATAAGGTTTGAAATCCGTGTAATATGTATAATGTCAAATCCAAGCCAATGTCAAATGTATAATGTCAAATCCAAGTATAATGTCAAGCCTGTCCCATAGATCCTCATTTAGACTTACTTTCCTCTTGTCATAGGCAGACTATTAAAGTAAGGTCAGTCGTCTTTGAGGCAAGCATGCTAGAATACGATAAGCTGCAGTTTAACAAAGAGGAGTCGTAAAAAGTAGGCATTCATATTTGAAAAGCAAAGCAATCTTGTCTTATAAAAGAGCTTAAAAAAATAAGTAAGTAAAACACTCCAGAGTCCCTAAATGTATCACTCTAGAGTAAGAGCAAAATATAATGAACATTAATAATCACAAGAATTCAAAATTTACTTAGGATACATTTGTTTAATACAGACTGGTAAAGCAAAGTGTACTTTATCTTTTAATATTCTTTTTTAGAAAATGCTGCAAGATCCCCACGGCAGTAGGCAGCAGGCCCTGGGAGCAGCCAGTCCCAGGCAGAGACGGCTGCTGGTCCCAGGCGGGCAGGCAGAAGACAGAAACATGGATAGACACGACATGCAGGGTGAGGTTGAATGTTTATTTTGGGGGTTATGGAGGAGGAAGGGTGAAGGGAGGACAGAGAGAGGGGGAGAGAGAGGGAGAGGGAGGGAGGGAGGGAGGGAGGGAGAGAGAGAGAGAGAGACAGAAGAGGAGAAAGAGACAGAGAAGGGGGAAGCAGAGAAGTGGGGAGAGAGGCAGAAGCGAAGCTGCCTCTCCGAGAGGAAGATGGAAAAGAGAGCAGTGTGTTACCACTGCCCAGCCTGGAATCCATTTTCTAAAGAACTTAAGTAAAATGGACACTACTATAAAACAGCTAAGCTACATCTAAAAAAATTTTAATTACATTTATTTAGTGCATGTGCATATGCCTACATGCTTTTGGAGGCCAGAGGACAGCTTGGGGGAGTCAGGTCTTTTCTTCTCTCAAATAGGTCTTTGGCCTTAAGCTCGAGTTGTCAAGGTTGGTAGCAAGTATCCTTATCCACCAAGCCATCTCACTGCCCTACATTTTAAATTTAAATTAAAAGCAAGCTATATTTATATGTAGCAGAAATCAACTAAAGCACTAAACACAAGTAAGTAAATTATCCAGAAATATATATAAAAATTATTTAAAAAAAACACTTTTTGAAGTCTTTACATTCACACTAAGTCAAATTTTGCTTATCGAGGGTGGGTAACATTGAAAGGTATTAGTCTTTAGGACAAAGTAGGGGTTCAATAATATGTTAAAACTTGCTTAGACAAAAATGTCTAAAAATGTCCATGTATTTATTGTGAGGGGTGATGTCGTGCTATGGAAGCGATGTGGAGGTCAGAGGACAACAGTGAGTGCTGGGCACTGGGGTCAGCAGCCCAGAAGATCACTTTACTCACTGAACTATCTCAAAGGACCCAGAATTTTTTTTTTTTAAATAAGTCTTTTTTTTAATTTATTTTTTTTAATATTTATTTATTTATTATGTATACAATATTCTGTCTGTGTGTATGTCTGCAGGCCAGAAGAGGGCACCAGACCTCATTACAGATGGTTGTGAGCCACCATGTGGTTGCCGGGAATTGAACTCAGGACCTTTGGAAGAGCAGGCAATGCTCTTAACCACTGAGCCATTTCTCCAGCCCCCAGGACCCAGGATTTTTAACATCAAACTTTTCTTATTTTCATTGTAGCTGAGCAAATTAGTTTGAACTAAGACTCTATAAAGCTTTTCACAATTAAGTGAAAGCTAACATACTTTATTATTTGTTGGATTAAGAATACACAATGAGGGGCTGGAGAGATTGCTCAGTGGTTAAGAGCACTTACTGCTCTTCCAGAGGTCCCAGGTTCAATTCCCAGCACCCACAGGGCAGCTCACAACTGTCTGTAATTCCTGCATGAAATACAATTAATTAAAAAAAAGAATATATAATGAGGTGGGCACGGTGGCTAACTGCTGCAATCCCAGTGCTCTGAAGGCAGAGGCAGGAGAATCGCCACAAGTTCAAGGCCTACCTGGACTACAAAGTGAGTCCCAAGATGGCCTGGCCTACAGAGTGAGACCCTGGCCTCAAAAAATGCACAGACTAGTTAATCTCTTCAACTGAAAAATAAATCCCTGGTCTAATTAATAACTTCAGTAAAAATAAAGTTGGAGTATGACATAGCACATCACACTGTTCTTAGCACAATGTGAATATTTTAATTATTTGTGTGTATGTTTGTATGTGTGCATGCACCACAGCGCACAGGTGGGAGTCAGGACAACGTATGGGAGCTGTTTCTCTGCGTCTACCATATGGGTCCTGGGGCTCAAACTCCAGACATCAGGCCCAGCAGCAAGCACTTTAACAGATGAGCTCTCTTGCTGGCCCAAATTTATTTTGTTATATCCACGCAAAAAAGAATCTTATTTCTAAAGTGAGAAACCGAAGACAGTTAAACTCTTCCTCTGGAAAACATGCTCAAAACTTAGAGAAGAAAAAACTATCCTAAATCCAAGAACTCCTGAACCCAGTGCCTTTTCCTCTCAACTCCTACACTTTCTCTAGAACTCCCAAATTTAACAAGTAGTGTCTGGTAAATTGGCCTGTGGTATGGAAATAGGTAGGGGACACGTAAGTCCTTGTACTGGCAGGTTTCTACTGGCAAGTGTTTAAAAAAAATTATAGCTGAGCCTAAGATGACAAAAACCAACAGAATATGAATCATAAACATAATACAGCAGTGGGTGTTAACAAATCAGCAAGTATTTATGGGGTATCTACTCAGCAAAGTAAGATTCCCCGGCTCTAATGGCATGAAAAACATAAAAACTATTTATAAAACAATTGCCACATGTAAAGCACACATGTAATGCAGGTCATACAATTTCAGGAGTTGCTGAAAAACAAAAGGAGCACTTCAGAGACCCTGAACAAGAAACATTTAAGGTTAAACAATGCTTCATTAACAAGTCAACAGTGCCCTAGTCCTGGCCTTCAGTAAAACACAATGTATACATTCTTCCCAAGGCACCTGAGAGATGACCAGGTAAACTGACAATGGATGTTACATCAACTATAAAAGAGAAGTGCACCCAATGTGTAGGGTGTCAGACCTTACACAATTCACTGCACTGGTATAAGATGAGCTAAGTGAAAAGGAGCATCCTGGCTTCCTGAGTGAGACCACCCGAGGTGAAGAGGAAAGACATCCTTATCTGGCAGCTGGTCAGGGTATTAACTCAACATGAACTATGTTCTGCTGTCTTCTGCACTAGAAATACAGTGGTAAACAAGACCAAGTCTAGGAGAGGAAAGCAGACAGCCAACACTTTAAAAAGAAACACACCGGGCGGTGGTGGCACATGCCTTTAATCCCAGTACTTGGAAGGCAGAGGCAGGTGGATCTCTGTAAATCTGTGGCCAGACTTGTCTACAGAGTGAATTCCAGAACAGCCAGGACTATACTCAATTAACCTTGGCCTGAGAAGCAGGTAGCCATACAAAGATTCAAGGGAAAAGGATTCCAGTCAGAAAGAACAATGAATAAAGGCTTGAAATATAATAAATCCTGCCCAGTGTAATGGAACAAAAATGAACAAGCAGAAGACCAGAGAATAGTATTGAGTTGAGCTGTTAATCACAATTCTGCTTCCTCGTCTTGGAAGTGACTAGTCTTGCACAGACTAGCTTGTCCTAAAGTCACGTAGATCTTGGGACTGATTCTGGACAATGAAATAAAGGACAACACAAAGAAACATTTTTTTTTTTTTTTTTGGTTTTTCGAGACAGGGTTTCTCTGTGGTTTTGGAGCCTGTCCTGGTACTAGCTCTTGTAGACCAGGCTGGTCTCGAACTCACAGAGATCCGCCTGCCTCTGCCTCCCGAGTGCTGGGATTAAAGGCGTGCGCCACCACCGCCCGGCCTAAGAAACATTTTCAAAGCCAAGTGTTTTAATAGGCGGTTATTTTCCCTCTCATCTACTAGTAAGATACAGGCAGCTATCAGGCTTCGAGAACTACTTCCTGACGTCACTCTATCAATACAGCCCATTACATGAATGTAAAATGACCTTGCTTTTGAATTTCAGCCAGAATACACTTTGGGTTTGTTGCTACAGCCAAACCTAATCTCTCTTGCCTTACATAGGGCTTGATCTGCTAAGCTTTGTAACAAGTTTGAATTATACTCTTACTGCAGTGGAAACAGAAGTAAACAACCTGGTGTTTCTATTTATGAAGATCATTCTGAGCTATCCTAATGAGAAAGAACACTGGTTTATACTAGGCAGTAGCAGCAGATAAGAAACAGTCAAATGTAGGATTTGTTTTGAACATAGAATCATGAGTACTTAGTGGTGAGATTGTATGTGGGGCACAAATGAAAAAGAAAAATCAAGATTAAGTTTAAGCTTGAGCAATCAGGTCTAAAAATATATTAGACTGAAGAGCATTTCCTGTTGTGACTAAGAGCATCAGACTTGGGGAATACTGAAAACACCAGAAGAGAACTGGAGAGTCCTAAAACAGGGAAGGAAATCAACAGTGCTCTTTTTGACTATTCTGTATGAAATATCTTTTAAAAAATGTACAAATGAAATAAACAACAGGCTATTTGAGAGGGACTAAAACATATAATTCCAATTTACCATAAAAAAAAAAGATCATTTAAAGCTATGGGAATTAGCTTTCTTCTTCTACAAAACAAAGTTTGAATCCTAAGCCTGTCACTGCATGGTCTTTTGCCACCTGAACAACCTGCCAGCTCTTCCTGACTCTATACATACCCTGCGTGGTGTCACTGTCTCTACTGCCGTCTCTTTACTACACAGGGACTTTGTTTCTTGTGGTGCTGGGAATGGAAATGGCCTCATGCACGCCAGGCAAGCAGTCTCCACTAAGCCATCCCCAGTCCGAGTGCTATCCATTCCTTAAGGCTCATATCAGAACTTCTTTTGCCATAATATCCCTAACACAGCCCAATTTAAAGTAACATCTCCATTTTCTGTAGTTGCCAAGTAATTATTTTCCATGTCTGATACCTACTTAGAAAGGTAAACGTCACTGCTACATGCTAGCTATCCCACTGACATGCTAAAACCTAATGGTCACATATTTTGTTCTGACAACTCTAACTAGTGATTAGTTAACAGAACAAACACATTTTACTCTAGACTTGTTCTAGGACCCTAGTACAATCTCATGAAGATGGTGTGCGATCTTAGTTATCTGGCACATTTTGGATTACACTGAGGCAGTGTTGTAATAGAAGCAGTGGGGCTGTGTCCCCAGCACCCCGGCCGCCTGGCTAGCTTATGCCCCGAAATAACAACACACAAATTGTATTCTTTTAAACACTGCCTGGCCCATTAGTTTCAGCCTCTTAACCCATTTCTAATAATCTATGTAGCACCACGAGGTGCACTTACCAGGAAGATTCTAGCCTACGTCCATCCTGGGTCAGAGCTTCATCGTGTGTGCCTCAGAGAGCAGAGCTATCGCATCTGCCCAGGAGAGGGGAGCATGGCGTCTCTGAGCTCACTTTCTCTTCCTCCCAGCATTCTGTTCTGTTTACTCCACCCACCTATGTTCTAACCTATCAGGGCAAGCAGTTTCTTTATTTAATTAACCAATGACCTTCCTCCATCAAGGTAGTTAGGACTTTCAGGAGTATTTTCATTAAAATGAAAGAAAGAACAACTCATAAGGAGATATCCTTCAGTTATTTGGAAAGAACACTAATTTACACCTAGTTTTCCAACAAGGCAGACAAGACATCACTATTTAAAACACAAACACTCTGGTCACGGGGAACTCACCTATGTCAATGTCAGTAAACCCTTCTGCACTTATTGCGTCCATCGTGCTTTTGTCTATCGTGTCGAGACAAAGACTGGCCAGCTGAGGCTCGTCAAATAACCGCGCCTACACACAGAAAGAAAGCCAGCTTACTTTCAGTTACTTTAGGCTGTGCACAATCAAAGCTGATACTGTAGACGACTGTAATTACTAACTATGTAAAGATACTGACAATGAGAACTGGAAGGCTAAAGAAGCCAATGTTTCACCGAGCAATGAATTCACATTGTCAACCATCTTGCTACTGACTTTCATATGCATATCCTTTACAGCCTATTTTCTTTCTCATTACTTAGTCTGATCCTGAACACACTCTAGATTAGAGAAAGCCCCCCATCCAGTGATGTTCATCTATTTGTCTAAGGTCATGTAGTTAGAAATGTTGCAGACTAGTATTTAAAATTTTAGTCTTACCATCACCAGAACCAGAACATCAACTGTCAAGGATAAAAACAGATCTGTTTTGTTGTTTGTTTTAACATTTCCTGCTGTGAGGGGACTGTGGTAAAGAGGTTTAGAGCACCAGCTCTGGCACCCAACGAACTAACCACACTAGAAATGACAGCCATAACATAACATGACTGCAGTTTTCACTTAATTTTAGGTAAAATTCTTCTCTTAAGGATTTGTTTATTTTTATTTTATGTGTCTGAGTGTTTTGCATGCATGTATGTATATATGGGTACTGTCTGCATACACCAAAGAGCTTTGGATCCCCTAGAACTGGAGTTAAAAAGGTTAAGACATCATTCGGTGCTGGAAACTGAACCTAGGTCCTCTATGAGAGCAGCAAATGCTCTTTAACTGCTGAGCCATCTCTTAAGCCCCAATAAAATTCAACTTAGTGGATTCAACAGCTGAGTTTCTGTGCATGTGTGTGCACATGTATATAGCAGATATGAGCATACTGTGTGGGTATATGCCCACTCATGTGCACACAGAGGCCAGGGATGATATCAAATGATTTCTTCTGCCACTCTTCACCTTCTTTTTAGAAACAGGGTCTCTCACTGAACCTGAAGCTCAGCAGCTCAGCTAGGCTGGCTGGCTAGGAGTCCTGGAACTTACTCTGCAGATCAACCAGATTGGCCTCAAATTTAGATGGACAGAGACTTCTTATAAGCAACTTCTTGGAGACCTCTGGCAGCTGGGACCCCTTGAGGCTGAGCCCATCTGTGAGGAGCTCCACAGGCCAGGCTCCACCCCCTCCCCCGCCACAAATTTCCCTAAGGGGAACTGTCCATTCCCAGACCAGAGGCCAGGCTCTGCTCTTCAGGAAAAAACCCCCAGATCCGACCACCCTGGAAAGTTTCCCCTACCCCACTCCCTGCAAAGAAACCCTATATAAAATTGTGTTCTGCCCAGTTCTCTGCTTTGTCTCCCAAAGCAGAAGCAGCCACTCTCACTAGTCTTTCCTTCCCAATAAATCTCTTGCAAAGTTTGTTGTTTGGTGTGACTTTTTGGTATTCTTTGGCTCCTGACTGCCAGGATACCTTTCCATCCAAGCTACAACACTTACACCAAGAGCTGGGATAAAAGCATGCACCACCTCACCCAGCTCATACCCAGTTTTTAAGCTACTATTTTAGCTCTATTACTTACCTGAGTAAGTAACATAAAGGCATTATCCGCCCTAAGATGTTTGGTGAGAAAGTCTACACAGTGTGCTTCCAGGGCAGGGACTGCATATTTCTTAGCAGTATAAAGAGTGGTCATAACGGTTTCTGGCCCAATCTGAACTTCATCTGAATACAAAAATCTGAAAAGCAATGGAAAATTTTAAATAGATAATCAGCATTGTTTTAAACAAAGCAATCCCACCAGAATTAAACTTTAACAAACAAACAAACAAAACCCCTGAAATTTACATCAGGGTAAGAGGAACTTGTACAAACATCGTATTCTTATTCCTGAGAGGTACGAAGTATTTCCACTTTCAGAGGAGGTTAAGCAGTGCTCAGGAGACCAAACAAATACATGTCCCTTAAGTGAAACTCTGGCTCTTTTTAGCACTCCATAGCTGTGTCCTAGAACAGTAGTTCATTAATGTCTCTCTCATCAAATCTGTCCACCTGAGTAAATCTACAGTTTGCTAAGGTCGCATTTCCAAATTTCTTGATAGCAAAGCCTTCTTATTCTTTAAAATTTTTCATAGTCATTCTGGAATTAGCTCAATGGCCACAGATTAGGGTGCTGCGGCTTTATTTAGGAGAATAAAATAATAATAATCCAGTTGGCCTGTATCCACAGGTTAAATATCCATGGACTCAACCAAATCTCTATTAATAATACATGTGAGAGGGGCTGGAGAGACGGCTCGGCAGTTAAGAGCACTGGCTGCTCTTCCAGAGGTCCTGAGTTCAATTCCCAGAAACCACATGGTGGCTCAAAACCATCTGTAATGAGTTCTGGTGCCCTCTTCTGCATGCAAACAGACCACTGTATACATAATAAATAAATAAATCTTTAAAAATACATATGAGAGAGGAAAAGATAAAGGAATTGTGTGGTTCTGAGCCAGTGCTATCATTTACTTGCTGTGTGGCTTTAAGCAAATTTATCCCCCTGTGAGCCTCCAAGGAGAAGGAAACAGCAGTACCTACTGACAATGTTGCGGTGAGGACAACCACGACCTAAAACACAGACTTCCAGTAGAGCCCGGCACAAGTTAATCTGAGTAAATGCTATCTGCTTATTAAATTTGATCTCATTCAAATTTTTTTCCTCTGTATTTTAGGGTATTTCTTTTCCCTCTTTTCTAGTCCTACCCCACCTCCAAACCGGCAATGATATTCAAATTTCTAAAAACTCCTGCATTGTTCCTGATTAATCTTTCTTCTTCCCTCCACAACTTTATGTCTTTGTTTTATGTATACAAAAACTTCCACAGGTTTCCAAGATACTTAACAGAAATGTTTAGGTTTCTTCTTTTCCCTCAAATTCATGTTTCCTTAAAATACATATGTTCTGTCTATCCTTGTCATTCTCGTTCTGATTTTCTGTGTGTGTCCGGGGTCAGCTCTAAATTCAGTAGTTAGCAGCTGTTCTGCTATCAGATAAAAATATCTTACAAATGCAAACACTTAAGATGCTCACATTAAACCATGCCTTCCCACATTAATGCTGCTACATAGACCTTTGCTGGGTCACATAATTCCCAGTCACTATTCATCAACAAGTGTGCAAAGCCAATGTGTCAGTTTGGAGCCTACACTTTAAGAATACCTGGTAGCTCCCACTTTTGTCCAAGAAATGACCAGCGAGAAGAGGCGCATGGAAAGGATCTCAGAATCTGAGTCAAATCCTCCACCTGACACCAACCTTAGATGCTATCTGAAATCAATTCATGAAACCTTAAAGATAGGCCAAACAATCACCCAGGTGATGCCATCAGCCCACACAGCTCTGAAGATAATGAAATGGCTGTTTAAAACCACCAGGTGTTAGAGTGGTTTGTTCTAGGGCAACATGTAACCAAAACACACAAGAGATTAAATGAACTAGTGTACAAATCTGCCCATAGGGGAGAGAAACAGTGATTTAATCAAAAAAGGAAAACCCAAAATTATTACCTGAAGTATAATAATTACTGTCTTCTAGGTAAAGGCTATATACAGTTAGAAAGAGGCCTTGGGAGGCAGACATTGAATAAGGAAAATGCCACCAGTAATTAGGTGGGGACACTGAGTAGACAGAGGAAAAGGGAAGGGGATCACATCCCACGGCCCTTTAATACCTGCAAAGTATTAAACTGTATCCAACAGACAAAAGCTCCTAAGCTCCTAAGTGGAATCACAGAGACAGGAGCACTCAAGGGAGGCGCTAACACACACTGTCTAAAGAGCAGTCTGGCTAGAAAAACACAGGGCACGGCCAAGCAAGGAGAAATGTGCGTGCAGAAAACAAGAACACCAAAACTACAACTTGACTTGGCTCACAACCATCTGTAATGAGATCTGGTGCCCTCTTCTGGCCTGCAGGCATGCACACAGACAGAATATTGTATACATAATAAATAAATATTTAAAAAAAAAAACAAAACTACAACTTGAAATCAAGGCCACAGGTCTCTTCCCAAGGAGTCCTGAGGAAGAGCACGTGGGTGTTTGTTTGCCCTCCCAGGGTTATCAATGGCTCACATCTCATCTCACCATCACCTGCTCACTTCTAGGTCACCCTTGGTGCCATCCCCGGAGCGGACCACCCCGGAGCAGGAAACGTTTCCACACTCCTTTCCTATGACTGGTCTCGGGATGCTCCAGCTTCCTGTCTCACTTCCCTGACAGCTACCATATATCATGTTTCATCTCCCTTTCCCTACACCTGTGAGCTGCGAGGTCTCCAGGCTCACTCTTCCCTACACCATCCACTCTTTCTCAAGTTAGTTTCATTGACTGTCATTCATTCTTAACTTTCCCTGCTTCTACCCTCCAAATATAACCAGAATGTGACCACTTCTCATCATACCCACTCCCTCCGGGGCAGTTCTCCATCAGCTCTTACTGCAGCAAAATCTCTTCCTTTATCATCTTGCTTCCCTTTTACTCCCCTTCTAATCGCCAGTAACAGCCAGAGTTTTTAAGATGTAAATACCATCACAGCACTCCACTGAAAGAAAACCCTCTACAAGTTTTCTCACACCTGAGATGGAACTCAAAAGTCCTTCCTCAGTCTGGCAAAGCCCTGCACTCCGCAGATCTTTTTACCACTATCATCTTTTATCTCCTTAAACCACACGAGTTTACACTGGGAGTTTCTTTAACAGGAGAAAGTTAAAATTCTAAAATATGCTTCCCCTCTCCTTAAAAAGCTCTTTCTCTTATGGCGTGACCATTTTTCTTCAAAATACTGTCAATTCTTAATATTGTATTCTCCTAGTCTCCCCTTAACTATTCACTTCATGAGTGCAGGGACTTTTCCTTGTTCATTGCTGTATCCTACACCAAAAACATAAGCTGCACAGGGAGACACAGTATTTCTCAAATGAACAAGAACACCGTTTAGAAGTCAGAGGGCTTTAAGTGAGCAGTTTATTAAAGAGTTTGAAACCCAAGTTCATAAGTCTGTAAGTAATGTTAATTAATTTAGATTGTAAAAGCAATAAAAATAAAGCCAAGTGGTGGTGGCGCACAGCTTTAATCCCAGCAATCGGGAGGCAGAGGCAGGTGGATATCTGTGAGTCTGAAGCCAGCCTGGTCTGCAGAGTGAGTTCTAGGACAGCCAGGGCTACACAGAGAGACCTTGTCTCCAAAAACAAAACAAACAAAACCAAAAACAACAATAAAACAAAACCAGCCAAACAAACAAAACACAATAAAAATACAGCTCAGCTGACTTTTCCAGTTCAACAAGGTCTACCAGACTCTCGGTCACACAGTATTAAGTATGATATCAATGTCTCAAAGCCAATTAATACCTAAGTAAAAATTAGTCTAGGCATTCATTTCAGAATAGAAAAATGACCAGAACCTGAATATCATGAAAATATATATTTTACTAAAAACAAAAAATGAGAACTCAAATGGCACTGTATATTTCAAGGGTTCTAAAATTCACTTATTTCCTATGAAAATGAATTAGCACATGCAATGAAAATTAGAAACAAAAGTATGAAATAGCCCCCTCTCTAATTTTATTCTAGCCCTAACAGTTTTAGAGCGATAGTTCTCTAATTTAGCCAGTGTAAATATCACTTAGGAAAAGTACTTACAATGATTTAAGGTTTCACCTCTAAACATGATACCAAAAGGAAAGAGTGGATCATGGCGCAGGTGGCCAAAGAATCATTTTGTATTCTTTTTGTTTCCTGGAAATCTGTGTAGGCAGGCACCCAGCAGCACACATATGGATGTATGTGTAGACAGGCACCCAGTGGCACACATATGGATGTATGTGTAGACAGGCACACAGTGGCACACATATGGATGTATGTGTAGACAGGCACCCAGTGGCACACATATGGATGTATGTGTAGACAGGCACGCAGTGGCACACAGCACACATATGGATGTATGTGTAGGCATGCAGCGGCACACATATGGAGGTGGAGGGCAGCTTGCAGGTGCAGGTTCTCTCCTTTCATGTCGGTCACAGGTAGCTAACTCAGGTCTTCATTGTGCTACCTCTCCGGCCCTATCATTTTAAGAAAGACTTCTAAACTGCATAATTAAGCAAGATAGTATCTAGTCCTAGTCAACTTCAAAATCCAAACTACCCAGATACTAGCCTTCAGGCTGCACAACTATCCCATAAATCAAAGTGAATTAAATGTTAGAAATACGAGAACAAAAAAAGAAAAGGGTGCTATCAGCTTTCCAAACCAACACATCTTACTTGGCATATTGGTTTTCCTTCTGCCCTATCCCCAGGTACATAACGTTTGTTCCGTTCCTCCCCAGTTGCTACTAGGGTGCAGGAAATCCAAAATGCCATCATAAACACTCCCCACAGTATTACCTGCCTTTTCATGAACGTCACAGCGACTGCAGTAGAGTCCGTCAAGTGGCCCTATCAATGCTTGTGGAACTCTTTATTGCCTTGGCTTGGCTTCTCTCCCCATTATTATGAAGAAAGCTACTGCAATTTTTTTTTCAACGTTTCCTAAGTGTGGAAAAGAAACCTAAGGTGTCCAACTATTTTCCCAAGGCCTTTCATCAACATCCTTGTCAGAAAGTGTTCGTTCCTAGTTATTTTATAAAAGTATTTAATGGGTCAGCACGGGGGGGGGGGGGGTGTTGAAAGTAGATGGATTCTTATGAGTTCGAAGCCAACTTGGTATACATACTGACCTCCAAGTCTACAAAATAAAACCCTGTCCCAGAAAATAAAAACCAAAACCCGGAACAAAACAAAACAAAAAAATTGGTGGGGGTTCATGAGAAGAAAAAACTTCACTATCTGAATTTTCACTTCCTCATTTACTAATGAGGTTAAACATTCTTTAGTCGTATTTTCTCTTCTCTATTAATCTTGTCCTTTGCCCATCCATTAATGGGACCTTAACATTTATTTCTAGTGGTTTTCTCGTCCACTCCGTACGCATCTTTGTGACGAAGCTGCGAGCCTCTGCGGCCGCTTCTGCTCCATTGGCCTGCCTGTGTGCGTCAGAATTACTCTAGACTGCTATCTTAAAAACACCACTCAGGCGGCCAATCCATCCTAGCAGAATGAAGCCCACATGGTCTTCTGGGAGCTGGCTCAGTTACCAAGTTGCTTTTCTGGGCCTCAGTCCCACTTGTAAAATTGGGGTAAACAACACGCCATACCTCCTTAGCAGGACTGCTGTGATTAAAAACAAATAATAAAAATTAATAACGCCCCCCTTCCACTAGAGGAAACTAATCAGCTATCAATCTCCTACCCTCAGAGCATCGGAAAGCAAACTCTCAACGCCAGCAGCGGGGTTGCGGATACAGTAAATGTCACTTTGCAGAAACACGAAGCAGGTCAGCTGGTACCTGTTACGGCTATTACTTTGCCGGGTCTTGACGACAAACCGTGCGGAACCTGAAAACAACGAGTCCTCCAAGATCCTACGGCTACCCCCGTCCTCCAAACAAAAACAAATCTTGCAAGTGGGCAACCAAGGCAGCCGGCCCCGTCCTCTACTCTGCCCACTTGATTCTGAAGCCCGGCACTGGAATATGACAGCGCCCTTCAACGGCAAAGAGCACACAGCTGGGGCTGGCAACACTGGCCGACCTTCCCGAGCATCCCCGGCCGGGAAGGAACCGAGGGAGGCCGGCGCGTCTGGCCCAAGGTCACCCGGGAGTCGGCGCAGGCCCGGCCGGGTGCCGCCTCCCTCCGGGCCGCCGGCCACCGGCTCCCCGCGCCCGCCGCTCACCTCAGCAGCGCCAGGAAGGCGGCGGGCTCCACGTCCGGCAGCTCGATTTCGGCCGACGTCGTGGCCATGCCGCCGTTGAACATGGCGTCGAAGACCGCGCTGCCGGCCGCTAGGACGAAGCGGTGGGCGGGGATGCGCTGCGGGCCCCCGGCGGCTGCCGCGCCGCGGCCCTTGCCGAGCACGAAACGCACATCGCTCAGCAGCTCCGAGTTGAAGAGGAAGGCGAAGCGCTCCTTCAGCGACGCCTTGGTGGCCTGCCAGTTGTACAGCGGCTCCCGCTGCAGGGGCAGCAGCGGCCCGAGAGCGGACGGCGAGGGCGCGGGAGGTGGCGGCGGCGGCGGAGGGGCCGGAGGACCTAGCTCCGCCTCAGCTCCGGCAGCCGGCTCCCCGGCCGCGGCCGACCCGAGCGAGGCCATCCTCCCGCTGCGCGGCTCTAGCTCACTGAGCGGCCAGTCGGCGCGCCGCCGCCATCGTCCAGCCGCCCCGAGGCCGGCGCCGCCCCCCTGCCTTCCGGGAAAGGCGCTTCCGGCCGCGCGCCCCCGCCCTCCCGCGGGGCGGTGTTGCCGAGGCGGGAGGCGCGCGCCCGCGGGAGGGCGGAGGAGGTGGAGGCGCGCGCCCGCTTGCTCGTTCGCAGACTGCCGCCCGTCGCTGCTTCCCACCGGCGACCCCCGTTTCCGCGGGGTTTTTCCTGCCTCTTCGTCTTTGCTGCGACGCGAAGACGCGGCCCTAGCCCTCTTGGTGGAGGAGCTGGAAGTGGTGGGACCTCGAGGGCATGGCAAGGCGGTTTGTGGAAGGGAGACGCCCTGATGTACTCGAGGCGAGATGAGATGAGATGGTGGCCCTGTCACCTCCCTGATGGCTGCACCGCTCTTGGAAACCCCATTAGCAGAGCTGAGAGGCTAGGACTCCCGCTTGTCTCTCCCCAGGTCTGCAGGTCTTCAGATCCCCCACCCCCTTACCCCTCCCATTTGTACAGGCTCCACTATGCCCTGTGAGAGAGTTCCTCCTCCATTTCCATTACTGTGGTTGAGGCTCCTGCTCAACCCTCTCCTAGGTCTTGTTTTCAGTTCCCATGCAGAACAAACCAACCCAGTAGGCCAAACTGCTCATGCCTGATCCTGTCTCACTCCTCTTCCCTCCAAAACAAAGAGGAAAGGCTGTGTGACTCTCCCTTCGGGCAGTGTTTCTGTGTGGCTGTCATGTCTTTCTTGAGTAAGTAATAAGCCTTTCTTTCTGCAGTAATAAGTGGATCTCAAGATAAATCAGTTGTTAGAGGCAGAAGGTAAAATAGATCCAGAAAATGATTCTTTACTAGGTGAGAATAGTTGGGGAAAACTTTTGGTTTACAAATGTCAGTTAATCCCAGAATCCTAAACTTGAATTCTGTAGTGGGATTGGAAAACATATTTAAGATGATTCTTTCAAAACAAAAGCAAGATACCACAACAATCTTTTCTGGATTTCATAATTTAATCCTCATTTTTTATGGCGATTAAAACAATCTGTAAAGGCTCTATTATTAATTTTGAAACTACCAAAGACGTGAAACAGTTTGGTGGATGTGTACAATTCAATGATCTATTGTAGGATTTTAAAAGTAGAGATGTGCTTGCCCCCAAGTCTGATGACCTGAGTTTAATCCCCAGGACCTACAAGGCGGAAGGAGAAAACCGACTCCAGCAAGCTGTCCTTTGACCTCTAGGTATATACACCCATCCTGTGATGAAGGGATGTCATTTAAAAAGATAAAGCTGAGCGTGGTGATGCACACCTTTGATCCTAGGAGGCAGGAGCTTACTGAGCCCTGTGAATTCCTGGCCAACTAGTGAGACCCTGTGGTAGTTTGAATGTATTTGGTCCCCAAACGCTCATAGACAGTGGCACTATCAGGAAGTGTGGTCTTGGAGGGGACTGGATGACACACTTTGTTTTGTTTTGTTTTGTTTTAGGCAGGGTTTCGCTGTAGCTTTGGAGCCTGTCCTGGAACTAGCTCTTGTAGACCAGGTTGGCCTCGAACTCACAGATATCCACTTGTCTCTGCCTCTAGATTACTGGGATTAACACCACCACCCGGCACACTTATTTAATCCAGACTTTGAGACTGGAGGGCACATCTTTTGTTGGGGGCGGTCTTTGAGGTCTTTTTTCTCTAGCTTTTCTCAGTATGACAGTTGACTTCCTGTTGCCTGAAGATGTAGGACTCCCAGCTTCAGCATCACATCTGCCAACAGCTGTCATGATCCCTGCCATGACAGACTGAACCTCTAAACTGTAATCCAGCCCCCTCAGTGAAGTGTTTTCTTTATAATAGTTGCTGTGGTCAAGGTATCTCCTCACAGCAATAGTAAACCCTAACTAAGACAGATTCTGTCTCCAAAATAAATAAATACACAATACAAAAAAATAGCCCACAGGGCCAGAGAGATGACTTGGTAGGTAAAGGTGCTTTCTGTGAAGACTAAAGACTCGAATTCCATCCCAGAAGAGACTGGCAGGTTGTCCTCTGACATCCGCATTGGCTGTTTACTTCAACGTGTGTACACACCTACAAACACACAAAAAGTATTAAAAAAAAACTTACAAAGAGGGAGGAACACAGTGTCCAATCTCTTTAGAACTAGAGAGACAGAAATCTCTTGTGAATTCCTGACTCTACAAAGCACGTCCTCAGCCAGCCAGGGCTACAGAGTGAGACCCTGTCTCAAAGAAATAAACAAAACTTTAAAAAAAAAAAGTAACCCACAATAAAATTAGTTGCTGTCACGTCCAAAATTCCCCTTTTCCCAAAATGGCAGTGCTGGGGATATTGTCCTAAGCAGGAGGATTTGGGGTAAACAGGGGTTGCTGTTGGGTTAGCAAGCCAAAGGTTTGCAGTAACTAGAAAAGCAGATCTCCCAAGGCAGCTGCTCTTCAAGAATCTCCCTTAACCCTCCAGGAACCAGCCAGTAGGTGGTGGTGCATGCCTTTAGTCCCTGCGTTCATCTGCAGCAGAGGCAGGTGGATCTCTGAGTTTGAGGCCAGCCTGGTCTACAGAGTGAGTTCCAGGATACCCAGGGCTACACAGAGAAACAGTCTGGAGGGAAAAAAATCCTCCAGGAACCTCCCTTAACCTTGCCCCAAAGGTCAACTACCTCAGACAAGGGCACCTACTTCAAACCAATCCCGACAGCCCACATCATCTCAGCTTCTCCACCCTTCTGTCACTTAAAAGTCCCCTTGCTTTTCTGCCATTTTTCTCTCCTCTCTGGCCCCCACCCTCCTTGATAGTTTCTCTGAGCCATTGCTTATAGTGCCATTACTGTTTTCAATTGTAGTGGTGTAAGAAAGATCCAGAACAATGCATTCTTGCTACAGAAATCAGCAGGCATGGGTTCAGCCATAATGCTGTTATGGGGCGATAAAAGAGACATCTCACACCTGATGCTGTTTATAGTTAATTAAAAATCTTTTGATGCCAGCTGGCTAGGACCACACCCAAGTGTTTCTGGACCTAGATGTGGCTCCCAGCGTCTAGAACACAGGGTTTTTGAAGTTTTGAAGGCAAAAACCACTTACTGGCATCATGCTAGGTGTGGGTGGGGTGGGGAGGTGGGGGGGATGTAGGAGTTCAGGTAAGCAGGCAATTTTATACAAGCTAAGTGGTTTGCTGGAGGGGGTTCTGCACAAACAGGCAATTTAACAGAAGCTAAGTTATCCAGGGCACCCTGACCTTCTATTTCCTACAACAGAGTAATTTTCCACGGGATTCCTCATCGAAGAGATCAAACTGTTGTTACAACTGAAATGGCCTTAGAAAGACCTGTATTTTGATTATAGCCATCTTAGTCACAAATTAAGTAAGATATTCACCTATGCAGGGCAAGTTCCCAGCCTAGGAAATTAACCCAGTGTCTTATCTCCCTATGAGACCTGCAGGCCCCAGGCTTCAGAAGCAATCAGCATTTATTTTGTTAGATAACAGTCACAGACCCTCAGTATCCCCTTCATCTCTTTCTCTCAGCCAGAGACGTCTCCAGACCTGACATTCCAGCATCCTATCCCCCCCCCCCCCCCGTCCTTTTGCCATAAAATGCTCCTGAGGGGGAAAAAAAAGTTTGCAGCTTGATCAGAATTCAGACTTGCTGTCCATTTCTTGTGTCTCCTGTCCCTTTCATTCCCATTCTTCCAGGGTTCGGATCCCGTTCATGTCCTGCAGGTCAGGACAATTCAGGATTCCAAGAAAAAAGACCTATGGAAAAATCAGTTCTACTTCAGTATTCTAACAATGAATAATACCAAACAAAACTAGGAGAATGATTTAATCTTGTTAAGAAGGTATCTCAGTCAGTAGTGTGTTTGCCTTGAAAGCACCTGAGTTCTAGCCTCAGAACGCATGTAATATTCATCAATAAGGAACTGATTAAATTATGGTTTACTTATATAGTCTAAAAGTATAGTCATTTATAGAATGAGTACTGTAGGAGGCATGGAGGTCTTTGGGCTCACAGATAAGCACTAGGGAACCCAAAATGTTAAACACACAGGGGTGTTCCTTCAGAGGAAGGCATGCACACAGTCTCATTGCCCAGAAGGCTGGGAGAAGAGGTGGTGACCGCCTGGTGATCTGTGTGCTCTCTGTGCGGTCCGAGACCACACTGGACCCTCCCACAGATCTCTACCATAAGCTTGTTATTCTCGGTGAGTCTATAGAACCCATCTTTATGGAAGGTGGCACATGTCCTTTGCAAAGAGTTTTTATTCCTCCAGGAGATTTATATCTGCTTTATTATGCATGCAGGTTTGAATTTATTATCACCAGGAATCTTTTCATCAAATTGTTCTGTGGTGTGGATTCTAATTGGTCTTAATAATAAACCCGGAGTCAGATTGTGGTGATACCTTGTTTGTACAAATAAAGCTTGCCTGAAGATCAGAGGGCAGAGCTAGCTAGCCACTAGCTAACCATAGAGTCTGGAGGTCAGTACAGACAGTCAGGAAGTGAAATGACTGGCGGGAGAGAGGAACGGATAAGGTGGGAGGAGACGGGAACTGAGTCTCTTTTTAGCTGGGAAGCTCAGTAGCTAAGGTGGCTGTGGTTTGCTCTTTCATCTCTCTAATCTCTCAGCATTTTCCTCTATATCTGATTCTGGGCTTTTATTATTAAGAGCTATTAGAATTTATGCTATATCAGATATTAGGGGTAAAAGCTGAAAGGTCAAAGAAGCAGAACAACCAGCTAGGTATCCTGTCTCTGCGAATCTTCAGACCGAAAGCCCTGAGCTCCTCCCTCTCTGCCCAGCCATATCCCATCCCGTCTCCACCTCCCTAGTGCTGGGATTAAAGGTGTGAGCCACCACCTCCTGCTCTGTTTCTCTTTTAAACTGGATTTATCTCATGTAGTTCAGGGTGGCTTTAAACTCACAGATATCCATCTTCTTCAGCCTACCAAGTGCTGGGATTAAAAGCCACAATGCTTGGCCTTTATGGCTAACTAGTGGTTTAGCTCTGCACTCTGATCTTCGGGAAAGCTTTATTTGTTA